TGTTCTGCAAGCACGAAGTAACAAACTATCAGCACACATTCTGACAATTACCAAAACTCCTAAATCCAAACCGACCCAGAACAGTGATCGTCCACACCGATATAGCGTCGCGCTGTAGGGCTTGCGACAACAGCCTGTCAATCTGATTGCGCTCATCTCAACCACTCTGTGGAGACTGAATGGTGAGTTTCTCCACTCGTGCGGTAGACGAGGTCGGGAGTGAAGCGCACGAGGGCCCTCCGGTCGTCCCAGAGAGACCCTTTAGACAATGATGGGGAGGGCATTTGGCCCGGGCTGCGGCCCGCAGGGAAGCCAGGGAGACTAATATCGCCGCCACCAGAAGCCACACATCGGCACGGTGGCTGCATACCGGAGGAACGGGTGGCAATCATCGAGCCATTTCCGAATCACATCAGTCACCAATCACCTTAGAAAGCTTGCAATTATTTCGACCGCAAACAATGACAGCTTGAGTGAATCTAAATGGCTAATATTGAAGTTGCAACTGGTTATGGCTCACTGGCATCGAGAACCAATGAAAGCAATGCTACATTCAATCACCGAGAGCTTTAAGAGACTTGTCAAGCCCCCCCCCCCCTCCCCCTAACCGGCTCAGACGCCCAGTTTGGCGCATCTTTAGTGAGGTTTCAGGTTTTTGGTGATCACATCGTATAATCAGTTACCCTTTGGGGACATGAGAGACAAGGCTATCACTTGAGGTTGCGCTGTGCACGCCATGTTTTCTAAACAAGAAATAATATTTTTGACAAGCAGTCTTTGTTTTACTAACCAGCAAATTTGGATTTCACATAGGTATGTAGATAACGAGTGATGTCCTTGCAAGTGAGCTTAGGACGCGTTTCTTCTCAATGGCCTTGAGAAGGCCGCTGTGCCGCCGAGGTTCGAATTCAAACCTGTTTGGTGCAAAACGGGAAGTGACGCAATGCACCACAACTTCTGCAATCCAGCCGTTTTTATTAGGAGGTTTCAACTATTTCTGCGAGTTACATACTTTTTTAACCCATTCGGTATTCATCCATGGTAGGTCTAGATGTGTTGTGAGCGATATAATGAGGCCAAATGAGGCATTGAAATGTAAATAGCTCGTATATTCTACGTATGCGTTTCCATCCGCATTGAAGCGATGCACCGCAAAGAACACCAGTCGAAGGGGAGGTACACTCTGACTCGACTCGATTCCTAGGCGAAATGGGAATAAGCAGGAAACGCCGTTTGCAAGATACGTAAAACCATGGCGAAAGTAATTAAATTTAATTCATGTGACATCAAGGTCAGCTCATCATAGGTCATCTAACATAAAATTTCAACGAGTTTCTCATGCACAGACAGATGAAAGGCAACGACTTCCTTGATTAGCAGTTCTGATAGCAAGACACAAATAATTGATGACTTTTTGAGCCTCGTGAATGAAATGCCTTCAAATGGCTTTGCCTCCAATTGGCTTAGAAGTTTCTGCTAATATGTTTGTTAGCAAAATCCTGCCTTGCCTATATGCGACCCCCCCCCCCCCCCACACACACACACAGTATAAGATTGCAAGCATAGGAGTATGCGAAAAGCGAGAAAAAACAACAGCTTCTTCAAGCACATGCTTAGTAACGAAATGTACAGAGTCACGGCCTTCTTCCGGCTGTCCAGGAACTGGGGGAAAATCCTTCTTGATGAGATAAAAAACACACACACACGAAGAGCATAGAGGAAGGTATTCCACTTATTTCCAATCGATTGTGTTCGTTAATCGGTTCAATAACACAGTCGTCGATAAACCGCCCGTGCCCTCTCACGGTCGCTGTGCCCAGCGCCAGTGGCGCCAGCTATGGTAACCACAGTCGCTTCGTGATCAGCTCGCTGGGGACAGCACGCTGAAACTCAGGCCGAGGTGACCGAGCAGGACCAGAGCTGGGTCGCACAGGCTCGTAAAGAGGCAAAGAACAGCTGAGCCTGAGCGACAGTCTGAAAATGTATTCCGCATACAACATTTCTTCGGTTCCATTCTGATGTCGAAGTTGGCATTATTGTCCCTCGAGTGCTAACAAACCCGAAACATTATGGTGCTACGAAAAACAAATATCGTTAATTACTTTCAATGATTTTACACAAGATCTATGTGTTGCAGAGACCAGGTGCATTGTACTGATAATAATTATCCCCTATCTAGTTCTGCCTTTGGGGTTGGCCAATCAAACCATCACGTTTCGCAGCGATCTTAGTACTTTTCGGCTGAAAACCTCACGAGCAGACATGTGCTTGGATCCGAGAGCTGGATCCATGATCTCAGTGGATCTCTCGACAAAATAGAGGGGTTGGATCTATGATCCGAGTGGATCTCTCGACAAAATTCAGGGGTTGGATCTATGATCCGAATGGATCTCTCGACAAAATTTAGGGGTCGGATCTATGATCTCTGTGGATCCAGCGGGCAAAAATTTGTGGAGGACCTATGATCTGTATGGATCTCACGACAACATGTAGCCAATGAAACCCTTATCCTACATAATTGTACACCTTACAGTGCAATACAATTGAGAATTGTCACTTGTGGACATGGTTGTTGTAATCATTAGGTATCATCATTAAATTTGAATTTAAATGAACAACATTTGTACTACATTTAAAATAAACCAAGAACATGCACATTGCTACTTTTTGTGACCAATTGTAACTTTTTCATGACAGCACTGATGACAATCTTACCAACAAGCTACACCCACTTTACTTCAATGAACAAACAGTACAGACAGATGCAGTGGCAGCGGGGCACTGCAGATTTTCATTTTGGTCCCATTCTTTCCATGCAACGCCAGTAGGGCTAATGTTAAAATGCCAAAATCTATGGGGGGCACTGTACCCTGGTGCCACCCCCCCCCCCCCCCCTGTTCCGCCGCCTATGGACAGATGTTAGGAAATCAAATCTGGAAGCCAAATAGGTCAGTTTTGCTCAAAATAATCCAGCAATCCACTTCTACCAGGTATGAAAACCCAATCTAGAATGTTCGTATGAGCTATTAGTATGTGCATTGTGCAACACAATTTCGATTCAGTAAGAATAGCAACCAACCTCTAATACTTTCCTAATAAAATTACAAGTTCAAAAATGGCATCAACTTCTTCAGATTACCTACTTTTGGCATCGTGCCAACTGCCACGTGTGGCGCCATGCCGTTTTTTTTTTTTTTTTTTTTTTTTTAGTGGCCCTAACTTACGTTACGTCATTATCGTTTGACCAATGAAAAATCTTAATTTGACTAAAACCGTAATGATTCCAAAAGATTCCCCGTAATAGGCCCTTCAAACTAATGACGTAAGATATTGTGATTCTTTTGAAAAGTGAATAAAATAAAGATGCAAGGCACACACTCGCTTTCAGCTTACGTTTACGTCATAAAATTCATCGCTACAAAGATGATATTCACAAACAACCGTATCGTAAAATTTTGTGAGGCAGAAAAAAATGAACATTCTTTTGAAAAAAAAAAACTTCAGACTTTTGAATTTCCAGTATGATTTTTTATTTATTTTCATTATACTCGAAGGAAGAACGCTTAGCTCATTTGTTATTTGAAATGACGTCACGATTTCTATTCAGATACTGAATAATCATTTTACGGTAAATATCCAAGGCTGCATTCCAATTGACATTTCGCTTCCCATCGCTTCCGCAGGATGTTGAATATTTTTATACTTTTGTTTATATCTCAGTTTATTTTATCAAATATTTCTTTCAATGGATTGAAATACCTTTACCTAACCAAGCCACATGTGTCAGTATCATCTTTTATTGTTTATCAATCAATTGTGTTAGCTGGAAACTGGAAAGCCTCATGGTTGTCTAATGCAAGATTGTCTTATCATTATGTAGATTCTAACATGAATTGTGATGTGGTACCTAGGTACCTACTACCTAGTAATGTATTGTTCATTAGTCATTACTTTGACTTACCTCTATGTTAATTGTTAATGCAAACTTTTCTGTTGGTATGTGAACAATCTTCATGTCACTCAATTCTCTCAAGTTGTGACCGTCATGAGCCTCCTTTATTTTGTATTCTGTATAATGTAACTGGATGCCTTTACTAATATGGCCTTTGCAAAAGATTGTTTGTTTCTAACCATACTTTGGTATTCATAACTTCTTATGAAAGAAAGTTGTTAACATTTTGAGCGCCTATGAGCTATGATCCCAATGGATCTCACGACAAAATTGGGGAGCCAGATCTATGATCCGAGTGGATCTAGCGACAAAATTGAAGGGTCAGATCTATGATCCCAGTAGATCTCTCGACAAAATGGAGGGGTTGGATCTATGATCTGAATGGATCTCGGATCGGGATCCATGGGATCGGATCTCAGATCCATTTTTCCGGATCCAAGCACATGTCTGCTCACGAGATCGGTGCGGAGATCAACAAACACACCAGAGCCCCAGCCGGCAGGAGTTAGTCACTTCGCCAGACGGCAGGTGTTTTTTTTTTGTCCGATTAGATCGAGCCTGGTGAGGACCAGGTGTGTGTGCGTCAGGGTGGTGGGTCTCCCTCGGCTGATACCCAGAGTCGTCACGTGCCTAAAGCTGCTGCTGCGACACGACACCGTGCCGCCGTGACGTATCCCTAGACCGAGGGACCACCTGCCGCGCAGGAGCCGGCCCCATATTCTGGTGCTCCAGCAGTAATGGCTGCAGTTCGTGTAGGTGTGTCTCCGCTGTGTCAGTGCTGACTGCGCTGAATCCGTTGCGACTCCACTGCGTCGCAACTGTCTACGTTATCGGCGAACACTGCACGCCGGAGAGGAGACTAAGAGAACCGCACCACCATGGTTGCCACCAATGGTCCGAGGGAACCGGACGCTGCCAACCAGGGACCGTGATGGCCAAAGCTGCCTATCAGTGGCCGTAGGAAGGAGAAGGGGAAAGGCACTGCCAGTCAGGAGCCGTAGAGACCGGACAATGGCCACTACCAGCCAGGGGTCGCAGGGACACTCACCTCTGCCAGCCATTTCTGCACCTCGGGGCCGCAGCGAGCGCCTCCCATACTGTGCACGGAGTCAGTGAGGGCCACGGCCGAAACTCGCTTTTGCACCTCCTCCCAGCGACGCACCGCCTGCCGAACAGGTTAGCTGAGGTCAGGGTCAGGTCAGGGTCAGGTCAGGTCAAGATTCCTGGCCTCTTCATAACTATACACGAGAAACAGCTATAAGTGACAGGAATAACGCCTAAGCTTTATAAAACAGCTACGACCAAGCGTTGGACTAGTGTCGTGCGATGTAACGGTTCGACTTTTCCATATCGGCGAAGACAACAGCAATGTTTGACACGTTACAAAACAACAATCGAGAAAAGTTGTCCTGCTCGACTCTAGTAACCGCAAATTTAAGATGTCAGGGTAACCTGATCTATCGGCGACCATATTTGACCTCTATCCCATCACCTTAGTTCCAGGCGGATCCCTCCTTTTCAACCCTTACCAGGTTCAGAGTGACCACGCCGCCGTAGCTGTGAGCCACGATGGCCACATCGGTGGCGGCTGCACCCCTGACGTAGGTGTCCCACACGGTGAGAGCGTGCTGCTCCGGGGTTCCGCTGTCCTGCGGAGACGAATCGCACGCTTAGTCAGAGGAAAACACGCGACACACGCACAAGGCGGCGATATTCAGCCAGAATCCGTAAAATTGGGCTAAACCAAGCTTGACTAAGCACCGCTTGTACGAATGCAGCATGGGCCTACCAACCGACATTGCCTGCGCTCGATTCACCGATGATTATTTTATTAATCGTAAGTTAAACGTATCGCAAGTAGTTAAATGGCGACACGATTCTCTCATGTCTAGCGTCCAGCACGGCATAACAGTTAGTTCCATTAACCGTTTTCTCCCCTACGGTGTCTGTCTTACCCGTATGAACTGTTTCCGCTCGCCGGTGACACGCCGGTTGTCGTTAGTGTTGAGCACCAGCACGCCATACCCGGCGGACAGCGCGCGCTCAATGTACGGCAGCTGGGTGCCCTCCTTCACGCCGTTGTTGATAATCAGTCTGTGAACAAATAGTAGTAAAGTAACCTTGGTGAATAGTGGCATAGTAGACAGTAGACACCACGAGCTGTACAGCTGAAGACATTCAGCTCTGCTGGAACAAATCCACGAAAGTCAATCAGGCATTAAACAGTCTGCAGCCTTTCACACGCGTTCTCTCCGCTAAATGTAAAGTCCCGTTGCGAATAGACCCCCTCTGTCCATGCCTTACCGGCGGGCTCACTAGCCGGCGGGATCACAGGCCTTCCCCACGGGAGTAGACCCCTCCAGGTCTCCTCCTTACCGGCGGGCCCACTGGCCGGCGCGCACCACCCCCGAGCCGTGCACCAGAAGCAGTAGTTTGTCGGCCGTGCGGTAGTCGGCGCTGGCGAACACGAACGTGGTGGGCTCGCCGTCGGCGGCATTGGCGGGCACCGGCAGCCGCTGCAGACCGGCCTCCGACTCCAGCAGCGCGTACACCTCCTCGGTGATCACCTGAGTCACATACAGGGTGCTGGGGGTGTCACATAGGTTTGCCTTCGTGAGCGACAGAGCTCCTAGTCTGCGATCACCTCTCTGAGGCACACAGGGCGATACAGATAACATCCGGGCCTCAACCGTCATATATTGATGGGGTGTCCATTCTCGTATTTGTTACCACAATAAGTGTTCTTCGGGTGACAGAGAACTCGACGCCGGGGATACTCTTTTTATAATATCTTTCATTCAGTGATAGAAGCTATTATTGGATGTCACCATCCAACTGCAGATGACGTTGCAGCAGGCTGTGGCATTGTCAATAAAAAGTCGTCATTTGCGCACGAAAAGATTAGGTATATCAATGGAAGATGGCGCCAGTGCCCTAGACGGTAAAGTAATCATTCCAACATTTGGGACCACTTTTTACAATAACAGCCCAACCAGTATAACGCCTTTTGGGGCGACTAACGGAGCGAGCGAGAGGGTGGACCTTGCACGTGCGAAATTTCGAGGGGGTACCTCCAACTGACTTGTGCACGGCACCTTACTAACCGGTCTCTAGCAATGTGCCAAATTTGAGCACAATCGGCCCAGCCGTTCTCGAGATCTGGAAGCGGCACCCTGCACGTGCGCACGTGCAAAATGGGTCCCAACTGACTTGTGCACGGCACCCTACTAACTGGTCCCTAACCGTGTACCAAATTTGAGCGCCATCGGTCCAGCCGTTCTCGAGATCTGGAAACGACCCCTGCACGTGCGCACGTACAGCAGCACCCCAACTCTGGCACATGGATATGCATTGCCTAGTGGGTGCCTACCTACATGCCAACTTTCAGCGCAATCGGCCAAGTAGTTACCGAGATATTGCAACAATTACAAAACTGACACCTCTTCGTTTTGCACGTGGCACGTGCATAAGGGGTCAGGAATAGTCCAATACTTGGTAGAAGGAATGAAGCTACTCTATAAAAATTACCGCGTGTAAATCGGTCAAGTGGTTGCTGAGATATAAGCCTCGCAAAAGCGTCCGCACGGCCGGCCGGCCGGCCGGCCGCTCATACTCAGAAATTTCCGTTAATCTAAGGAAAGACTCCGCTCGCTTCGCTCGCTCCGTAATAATTTCTGTGGGATAGATTTTCAATTGGTAGCACAGCTGTACCATGTTTGTCGATGTGCGATAAGCCTACCTCTCCTAGCGCCTCATACCGCGCCTGGTTATACTCCGCGTCCTTTGAGACGTTGAACTCAAATCCACCGCCCGTCTTGATGTCCTTCAGACTGCCATCTGAAAAGTCATCATTCATTGTTGTGCAAAGTAGTCAATGGTCATATTTAACTCGGACAACGGCGGGAAAACTCAGGCCAAAGACCGTCTGACTTGCGGCCCGTGACTGAGCCTGTATAAAAAAGAAACTTACCCATGGACACATACAAAACACTTGTGAAAAGTAAGGTCAATAAGGAATTACACACCTTCTGCATAATGCAGAGTGAAAAGCTACTTACAAATCTGAACACAGAGATCTGGATGAAACTTTACAATCAATGGTCTCAGGACCTGAAGCTGCCAGTGTCACCCCTATTCTGACATCTCAGAGGAGACATGATCCAAAGGCTGCATACATTTGTGAAGGCACACTTATGCATAGTAATCAGCCTGCAACTATCAAACAACAATTGAAAGGGAGGTCATGAGTACAAGGTAAGCAAACCAAGTGCCAGTTCACAAACAAGACACCTACTCTTCATATTCATATTTCAATTTGGAGCTTCAATGGCTGGAACAGCATTCCCTCCCACATGATGTCAGCTGATACATTAAACACTACCCAGTAATTTTACAGATCAGCATATCATAACAAGCAACATTCATATCATTTGCAATGATTGTGCTTGCTTCTTCATTAACAGAGGAAATAACAGAAACAGGAACAACATACATGCAACAACCAGCAGACAGCCCTCACCTTTGAATTCATATCCAAAATCCTTAAGCTTTGTTGGAAATGGAGAGTTGCCCATGTCTTAAAGTTTAAGATACACGCACCTGAAATAGCCAGTGATCAGTAGGCAATTCTAATTACACTTAGTCAACTCACAGTCATATGGGACATTTGGTGTATCATAAAATTTATGTTTGAGACTGTAGGTTGAGTTAGGATGGAACATTTAAATAGCAGAATCCTTTTATAGATGTGATTTTATGCTACCGCTTGAAAGGGCGCTGTTTCAAAAGTGCACATGAACTGGTCATTTATTTCAATTTGTTAACCAGCTGGGGGGGGGGGGGCAGAATCTGCCCCTTCACATAGAATATTCGCCGTCCAAGACATTGAACGCGGGGTCAATTTCAGATGCCTCATTTAAATTGAAAAAAGGACAGCATTGGATATTATCAGGACACTTGTTGCACAGTCCTGTTAGTCATTTAACATATGATAACGAAAGGAATAAAAAATGAATTAAAAACAAGAACAGAAAATGAAATATAAATTCTCACACTTGCTATGAGAATTCAGCAGTTGTTGCAGCAAGACCATACAGTTACAGCACGGACCGTAACTCACTAATGTCCTATCGCAAATAAATATAAATACAGCCGCCAAAAAAATTCACAGGCGATGGAAATATTTATGCAGCAAGTCCATTCAAAACGTTCATCTCATGTTGGCTCACGATCGCAAAACACAAGCCGGTTCAAGGTAGCGCTTGCAACATTTTCAGCTGCAGCTGCTTATAGAGCACATTTGATGGTATTTTTATTTGGAACAGGAGCGCAGCTATCGCTCACATTGGTGGTGCTACCATATTTGAAGAATTAAAGAAAACCATTCACTTGATTAGTTAGATATTGAGTAGTAAAATAATCTTGATTGATGCCATATGGATGCCACGAACCTTGCCACGAACTTCATTCGCCTTTCGCTTGCCAATGCCGGCTCAGAATCAGGGGCCCCTCAGGCCTCAATGGTTTTAGGATAAGGGAGTTGATCGATCCCATACAGTACATTGGTTGATCCCATACAATACACATATTGCGACCATACGCAAATGACTTCCACAGCAAAGTTATTGAGGCGGGTGCGGGGACCAGGCCAGGGAGAATCCGAAGTCTGAGCTCCCGCGACTGTTTTCCCCAAAATGTGTTTCCCGGGTTTTCCCCTCCTTTCTCCGATGCAGGAGTCCCTGCTCAGTTTGACAGAGGACCCATGGATTGGTCATGTGTCTCGGGCGAATCTTCTGCGTGTTTTAAATAGCTGCGTGAGCCCCCCCCCCCCCCCCCAAGTGCTAGTCGGCGGCGGCGCCTCCTTTAGGCGCCCAAATGTTTATCGATCTGCCCGCACTCGCAGCAATGCAGGATACCATGAACATGTCTCGTTTCAAGGAACACCTTGCCCGTCTGCTCGAGACAAATCGTGCGCATACCCATCACTGAGTTGTATGCCTCGCGAATAATGTGTAGGTACCTATCTGTAGCCTTAGTCCCCTTTAGAAATAAGTGTACCATTGACATGGCAACTGAAAAGCCTCACGTGAGGACAGAGCCGCAAATACACGAATACGAATACGAATATGTACAGTACCAAAGAACATTACGAAGTCAGCCCGACAGCGAGCCGACGTCAGCAAGGATTTGGTTCCCTCTGAGCCCGCTGCCGTACCGTCCCTCGGGCTCGGCTGGGCCGTTTATAGGTAGGTACGAGTAAGTACCAGATGCGCAATGCTGCACCAAACAGGACATGTCGGCCGAAGCCGCCAACTTGGTAGGTATACGGAAGATCAGCAGCAGCCAGGTGGGCCGAAAGCCGACACTCAATCGACCCAGTCCGCAGTCGACCGTCCCCGACTTCCTTCCCCGCGACTACCAACTACCTACCGTCCCCGGCTTTACATCGAACTTACACCGTCCACCGATATAAACCGACGTGTGGGCGGCATGTCCCGACGGGCATCGAAATACAGCGGCCCAACATCGATCCAGACTTGTGCCAAGATCCCAAAAAGATCCGAGATCCAAGATCTGCAAGATCCTAGATCCGGGATCTTGCTGGATCTTGGATCCAGCACTTTCAGCTTTTGTCGATGGATCCTGGAGATCTTGGATTCTGTGTCATCATTTTGTCGAGGGATCCTGGGGATCTTGGACCCTGGTTTTTGAATTTGTTGAGGGATCCTGGAGATCTTGGATCCAGGTTTTTGAATTTGTCGAGGGATCCTGGAGATCTTAGATCCAGGTTTTGATTTTGTCGAGGGACCTTGGGGATCTTGGATCCTAAGTAAAAATTTCAAGATCCTGGAAGAGTTGTATGCTAAGTAGAAACAGAAAAGATTATGACCATTTTCCTGTATGTTTGATGTACATGTATTACATATATATACATATATGTCCATTTAGTGCCTACCCCAAGGCTAGAAATCACAATACTTAGAAGTTACCCACGACATCGAGTTCACTGTCGGTGATGACGTAGACGGCGAAAAAGACATCGGCATGGCGAACGCTGCAGGACGCAGGTCGGATGTTACTGCGCGACTGTCGGCAGAGCGCGGAAGATTATCTCGGGTGGGTATCGTCTCGCCTGGGATCGGGTTTATAATAGTGGCCATGGTTGTTCGGCGGTCGTCCGTCGGTATAACACCTCGGGAATGTTAGCGGGCCGTCGGGCCGTCGTCGGCGCATGCCGATCCTTTGTCTGCGTGAGCTCGGGATAGTAACGCCAGCTTTATGAATATAAAATACCAGTGGCCTCGCTGTTTTGGCCTGCCGGGCTGCCGGATCGATACATTTTCGTGTCGACTTACCGACGTCGTGCCGACATGGGCTCACCGTCTCACCGTCTACTCTGGACTGGTCGCACGTCGGCTGGATTTCATCCTATAAGACGAAGATTGGGCAAAGCCATGCTCGCCTATTCGTACGATACAGCAGTGTTTGCGGTGGTGTTATTGGGCATATGATGTGAATACTGAATAGCATTCGTGCGCTCGAGCGTTTGCGATGTTTGGGTTGGGAGTCTTATGACCATCCCTAACACCCTCCCAATTGAAGCGACATGTCCCTGTCCTGCTCCATTTCTGACGCTTTTTGTCCTTGTCATTCTTAATTTGTCTCCTGCATCATCAGGGTTTAGTGACCCTAGGTGACCTTGCATCACCTTAGCAAATGCTCTCCTGACCGCATGATTCACCGACGTTCCGCCCCGACGATGTCGCGCCCCCTGTCGAGCGGAGCATGCGGTGAGGGACGGGGGAGGTGTGCACGGTTCAGGGGGTATAGTCCGGCTCGGCGAGGCGGGCGGTCAGACTGCAAACGACCGGCGCGGCGGACGCACCGACCAAGAGAAGGCAGACGGTAGATTAGGTGTGACGTTATCGACATACGGACTGCACGTGCGCCCTGCGTCTGGATCTCCCAGCCATGCACCTCAGCCTGGTGAGTAGACGCTATTGGGCGACCATACCTAACAGTCATCCGACCTCACCCAGGATAGTTATAGCTATTTAGGAGTATGCATAGGCCAGCACCGTTTATATAGGCTGCTTAAATAAAGCTGACAATGCGGCTGGCACCGTTTGTTTTCGTGGTTGGTACATACATTGCACAGTGGCCCTTTTTCAGAATAAGCACGCAATAATTCCCACATTACCTGAAAGTGGTGCAAGACATCACCACGTGATCAAGGACGTATTCCCTGCCAATGCAAAGAGAAGAAAAGAAACGAACTGCCCAAGGAGATTCGGCCCAACAGCGACAGGCCGCTCGGCCCAAGATTTGGCGCACGTTCGCACGGCTCGCCCGCCGGCCCAGGCCGCTCCGAACGCAAGTGTGGCGAGCCCGCCGGCCGACCGCGCTGCACTGACCGCCAGGACGCCCCAGGGCGCCACGTGACCGCATCTACAGCTATTGCCAGCCACCGTTAGTCGGCCCCGGCCGGGCAGCAACTAAGGTCAGCGCGACGCGAACAATACAAACACATAGGCGCTTTTGACGTTAGATCTTAACCCTATTAGTGGCAGGGGGGGGGGTTGTTTTCATCCACCCCTCAGGTTTTTCGGGAATATCTCCGAAACCGCTGAAGCTACGATGCTGAAATTTTCTGACTTTTCCTAAAACTAAATTGGGCACATTCCCTGAAAATTTCAAGTTCATAACTTTACCAGGGGCGGCTCCAGAGCACTGGGAATTGGGGGGTCCTATTCGTGAAGCGAGTCATTTGGGCGAAGATCACGATGCTGCACCAGTTTTACGAACAGTGAATGAAAGGTATCATGTGATAACATATACAGTTATTGTGCATCCTCTTTTGACACGTTTTTGCTATAATAGGCGGATCCAGGCGTCCAAAAAGGGGGGTTATGTTTTACCTCCCAACATAGGTGCCCTGACACCGCCTATGCATGACCAATACAATTGTAGTCGTTCTCTCATAAGAAAATTGTAACATAACAAGACCATTACCACCCTTTTTAGAAACAGTACCAACAAAACCCTTATTTACTATACTTTTTGTGTACCCCCAATCTCAATGATCTGTATCCGCCTATGATTTTTGAAAATGCATATTTTTAGGATCCATGTGAATTCCTGGTTCATTCTCTATCGATCGGCAAAAGTTGCGTTAAGATTGGTTCAGAAACCTGGCCGTGATAAACAGTCTAAAATGTATCTGCAATTTGCCCGTTTTTACCCCCCTCTACCCCCCCCCCCCCTATTGACATTTTTTAATTTTTATTTTTTAGAAATGTAGATCACGCTGAGCGAAATCGAATGCCGTTTGAATTTTGAAAATCGGCCCGTTAGATCTCGAGATATCAAGGGGGGTCGTAAACAGCCCCCCTGCCACTAATAGGGGTAGCCAGGAGCCTGCCACTAATAGGGTTAAACCGACCACGGGACTTGTGCGGCTTGGACATCAAACGCGACAAGAAATCGGACAGTTTTTCTTGAGCACAGCGTGCCTCATATGCCTACATGACATTTCAATAAGCACATCTTATGGCAAAAGTCAAGCCACATTTAGGCGCCCACCAGGTGACACCAGCTTCGAGCCAGGTCAATGAGCTTAGTCGTATCGAACAGGAGCCACAGCCGCTCGCGGACTGAACTGGCTCACGTTATCCACCGTGGAAGCAAAATGGCGCAAAATGGCGCGATGCCCTTTGGTGGGCATGGTCAGAAGAGATCGGCGATTCGAACGATGTATAATACGACATGTTCCAGAGTGTGCTACTTAACATAAAGCTTCATATGTATGCCGCCATCTCCAGTTAATAATTGTCCTGTTATTGTGTCCACAATATTCGGCAAAAGTGGTCTATTTAAGTACATACAATGAAAATTGTGGTTTCTAGGGCTTCTACGTAAACTCAGCTTCACAGCCATGCATGGCGTGTCATTTCGCGAACTAGCGACCGGAGTTTAGTACACCTCCTCACCGACAGATGGCAGGACAACTGCGTGAGAATATACCTGAGAAAAACGTAAAAAAGCAAAACAAATATCACGATCATCATTGCAAGCGTACAATAAACCGCCAAGAAGACCACTTTAACGATTTATAGGTTTAAAATGGCGAGTTCGCTAAAATAAGATCCAGCCAACATGCCACGGGCTCGCCCGGTATTCATTGCATGCACTTATCATCGAACATTGCGGGCACATTTTTGAACGGAATGAATCGAAACTCGGTGACAGTAGTCTTCAATGTATCCACCAAGCGGAGCCAGGGAACATTTTTGATAAACCTAATAGTTTCAGAGATATTCAATGATAACCGAGATTCCGTCGCTCCGTCGGCGGCGTTCCCGACGATTTAACATGGGAAAATGAGAATAACTTGCAAAATGTACACGACGATTGCGGGCACAGTTTTAGAGTCTCGCACACCAAAATGGCATCAATATGTTCCAAATTGATCATAGTTTCCTGTACTCGGGAACATCTTTGATAAACGGTCCCGTTCTGCCGCAATCGCCGGTAATGTGACGAATCCGCGCGAAATCCCTATGGCAGCCGGTGCGCCGGAGCGGCCGGCCGCCGGTCGCTAGTTCGCGAAATGACACGCCATGGCCACTAATTTTTAATATTTTCTCACCGAAAGCCTTACAAATTGATGTTCATCTCACCCTACTTTTTAAGAGTCCGCCGGTGGTGTCCGCGCGCCTCTCGACAAACTTCGATCACAGATAATTCTTTTTTAGGAGGTAAAAATGGCACCATTGGATAGTTTGGAATGTTTTGCACACGATTAGACTGCTTTTTACTCAAAAGAAGAGAAAAAAATATTTTGAATTTATGCGTGCTAGTTCTGAAAAAGGGCCACTGTGCATTGGTAGTTGGTACCCTCCTGATCTATGAATAAAATAAGTTAATAAGGTTCCTGAAGGTATTTCATTTTTTATCATTCGAGCTTGGGATTCTATTCAGTTTTTGACTTTCCGGGTAGCTAAGGAATTCAATAGGTATGTAATGCATCCCATTAACTTCTTCAGCAGCTATTTATTTTTAGACGGTCACCGCAAAAGATTAATAAACATTATTTCGTACATTCTGTTTTACCGTCCAAATAGGTACCATTGATCGTTCCCACATTTTTTTTAGCAAGAATATGGACATTGCCAATGGAGGCGATAATGAATGTGGCGCACATTCACTGCCTACAATGTCGATAAACAGAACCACATCAAACCAATTAAACTGCCTCTGCGAAGCCAGATTGAATTGCTCATATTTCATGTTCCTACGCTTTCACTTTTGCATCAAATGTTGCACGCAAAGTATGCAAAGAGCATACCGATTTCTGGGAAAACGTCGACCCGCGTTGTTCTTTTCATTGTCGACTCGTTATTATGTTCTTTTGTCGGTATACGTCACGAATATAAAAAGAAGATATTTCTTTCCTTTCATTCATCCTGTAAGCCAGGTAGCTATTTCCTAAAGTTTCAAATCAATAGCTTAGGTGGTGTTCCTCAGGTGAGCATTTACTATTTTCCTGAGGAGAGGTCACTTAAAGTGACCTGACGGCCGCCTCTCGCCGGACCGTTGCGGTTTTTACATATACCCGCGAGTATGTAACGACAGCACATGTAGCGGACGGGGGTTGTGAAACTTTTCGAAAATTTCGAAACTTTTCATCCCTAATTGAGCAAAAGCTTCGTAAAAAAGCGAGAGTGATTACAAGTCGCAGCCACAGACACCCGATTTTAAGGCCTCAGGTCACCTGGTGAACTCTAGGGTAAGTCAAATGCCCTAGGGTAAGAAACTATTTTTGGTGAAAAACGTCGCCAAACATAGTCGCAGAGCCGCAATTTTGGTACCATCGTGTTTACCCTAGTCGGGTGTGTCGAATGAAATACTTTTTGTTAGGGTGAGGTCAACTTTAGAGTGTTCACCTCAGGTCAAGATCAGGTCACAGCCAATCCGGTCTCAAAGCTGGTAAACTGAGGTCATATTGCATATAATTTGATTTTGGACTTCTCTCTGAGTCCGTTAGAGGTTTTCCCGAATCGCTAGCTCGATAATCGATTTGATATCGGGAGGTGATGACGAAAAAACCTCGATAACCTAACGCTTAGTGATCCGTCATGTATGACGTCATGCAAAATCAACAATGCCAAAGTTAAGCATCGGACCTTACAAACAGCTTATTGAAATCACGATGCTATTCTTCAGGACCGTACATAGGCATGTTGTTTATGACGCCATAGGTCTTACCTACCCTGGCCTGAAAAAAACGGTTAGTGTCTCAAGATTTGGCACGAATCAAAAGTCAGGAGGGTAAGAGAGCGCTAGGTAATGCTCTCTGTATCCAGCGCGTTCCGAGCAATCACAAAAGAAACGTTTAGTGCGGCACCCCCTCTTTCTCGGCCGGGAGGGGTACCTAAAATATTTGGGTATGAGGAGTTTCATGTATGCGTAAAAGAAGCACCATTAGGAATGTGTTAAAATCTAAAAGTTTGAGAGGAATGGATCTAAAAATGGCTGTCACGGCGAGCCGCGCGAGAGTTAAAGTAACACAGTGAAATTTGAAAGCGCACTGAGATTCCCCCTGAGCTGTTATGGGATGGAGGCTTACATGCAAGCAGCTTAGAAGCTGCGTCTTATCTCTTGATGGCCGTGCTTTGGGTGTTACGTAACACACAAAGCCATGCGTTTACAAAATGCGAGCCTGCCTGAATCTGGTTTAGCATGACGTTCTTGTAACACATTTCTTCGTTTACCGGTACAAATGTGATGCAGCTAATCTATCGCGTCTTTGGTCGGGAATCTCAATAAGTTTAATTTGAAGAAACCCCACACGACGCATACGGTCGACTGTCGAGGATCTCAGACAGCTTTAGATGGATGTGATACATACATACCAAGCCGTTCATAAACTTAAATTAAGTATCTAGAAAACAAAGCAGCGTGACGAAAAACTTTGACATTTGGGAGGGCGCAAGAAAGTCTGATAGCATGTAACTTGCTAAGATAGCATGTAATTCGTTTTTTCGGGGAGTTCGAAAACAACTTCATCGCAGTTGCTTATTCTAAAAGTCACGTTTTGCCGTTTTCCACTCAAGCTCCCGATATTACCTATCCGAAAATATGCGCGGTAGCTCATGAACAAAAAGAGAGTAGGTACCTATATAAGGTAAGGAATCTTTTAGTAATCAGGAACGATCGCTGGGATCGAGACTTTTGCTCGAGATAACCAATATTCCCCGTTGCTTAGGTTCCATGTAAAAAGTGATGTCTTTGTTACCCGAACCGAGGCTGAACCTTCGCATTGACACCTAAGTTCCTAAATGTGAAATAGATAAATAAATCACTCGGCAGTGACGACTGAAAAGTATCGACTTTAGGCCACCTGGTGCCGGCAGTAAGAAGTGCTTTTTGTCACAGCCAGCGCGCCCAGCTGGATAACGACAATGATCGAGATCGACGGACAAGGGTAGAGCATCTTTATAATATGAACAGGATGGCTTTATTATTAGGGGCCTGCAGGTGCACGCGTGACAAGACACGCGGGACACTTATGTCATAACTTTCAGATGATTTATGAAAATACGAAACAAAACGCACGAATCATTTTTTACTAGAGGGGAAAACACCCTGCTTTGACCCTCCATAACCGACTGTATTGACGACATGGCATATGTTCCGTAAGTACAGGTAGGTATACGAGCAAATAGACTTGGTCGCTTTGTCACTCAAGTTCGATGTTTTGTGTACATCATCTGAGGTTTATGTACACCTGCTGTCCTGTAATCGCCACCGTTTTTAGTTAGGTATGCGATTTTTGTCCCCGTCATGCCCCAGTCTCCGTCTCACCGCGCTCTGATCGGCGGGCCTAGGCAGTGTCTGCGGCCGCCCTGATCCGGCTCGAGTCACAGGTGTGTCCTCCACAGTCAGAGATGACTTTGTCTCGGGCAGTAATCCTCGGCAGTCCGGGACGCCCCAGATCCCTCCTCTCGACTGGTCCATTAACGGGCCCAAGGTGTACCCAAGCAGAAGCGCAACAGGTCTGCGGTCAATGGCCTGCGGACAGCGCAGTGGGCACGGGATGAAATCTGGGCAGACAAAGCAGCCCCAGTTCTGGCGGAGGGGATCAGTGGGGAACGTAGAGAGGATCCGGTCGGATGATCCCAATCAGTGGTGGTGTGCCGTCCGGCACTAGGGGCGCCGGTCAAAGAGGCTGAGCTCGTCGGAAAGTACGTCTTCGGTCTCTGGCATGGCGAATAAATTCGTCAGAGAATGATGGAGTCAAATAATGACGGAGAACCCCACCCTCCCGTCCTCCCGGAGCTAAAAAAGCCGGCAAATGTGTATTGTGTATTAAATGCGCCATGAGAATGGTAAGCAGAATGCACAGTCCTATTAGCCGGGAAGAGTTTATAGACTGTAGAGCAAGAGTTGATGGTCACCGGGCACCGACGTCCCTGAATTCGTCGGATATCCTGTTTCAACTTGTCAGCTTGTCTCTGTCGCACAGAGAACCAGCAAAACCTTTGGGCTCAGATAAGAGCGGTTACAGAACATCTCACAGAGAACATCGTTAACCCTAGAACGCCTAGGGGGGGGGGGTTGTATCAACCCCCCCCCCCTGAGGTTTTTTCGAAGTGCACGCTAAACGGCTTGTCGTAGCGGGCTGAAATTTTCAATACCCTCTGGGGCAACCTTTGCGCATCTTTTGCCGAAAAAAAATTGATCGGGTCATGTCAGGTCACGGAGTTATGACGTCATAAGAGGTACAGCCTCCGGCCGACAGTTACCAAACGTGTGCGCCGAATCCCTAGGTTTTCTGCCGGTGATACCCACATTGTTTGATGGATCATGATGAAACTTCCCATGCATGTTGGGGCAAGCATTGGCTATCGTGTGGTGCAAGAAAATTGACCGGGTCAGGTCAGGTCACGGAGCTATGACGTCACAAGAGGAACAGCGTCCGGTACTATTTTTGAAAAGCGCCCGAACCACTATTTTGCTAATTCTTGTCACCTCAATGGGAATATGCAGCAATATTAGCTTCTATAGGGAGCAAATGGACCTCCCAAATCCAAAAATACAATCAGATTTCAAAAATTTAAATTTTGATTTTTCGAATTTCTGCCGCCGACTGTGACCTTGCCGACTTCCGGCGCTCCCAACGCGCCATTTTTAGAGCTAGGGAAACGAAATACATACCAAACGATAGAGAATTGATCAGGGAACACGATAGTGAAGGTTTCAAGTCGATATCTCCCACCGTTTTGCCTCAATCGCCGCGGAAAGTTGAAAAAGTTTGATTTTTTCGGAAAATTTGACCTTTGACCGGTCATAAGTAGGTCAAATGTTGACCTAGGACCAAAAAATATACCACCAATCGCGAGATCTCGTTGAGAGCAATCCGTTGGTTTTTTCCGCTAAGCTCTACGACCTTCCGTTTCGAAACGCCAGGGGGGGGGGGTCGTAACAACCCCCCCCCCTGGTCGTTCGTGTTATGAGAAATGGCCTGGTCGTGCGAGGGTTAAAAGATAGTGAACACGAGCTTTCACAATGTTCCTTTCCGTGACCTCAGTTGTCCGAAACATAACAACACTCAACGCGACTAGGATCATGTTAATGACAGATTAATGTTCGACGCTACGCAAGTTCGAGTTCAAGAAGTCCAAAACTGATCACTGATCAGCCAAGTCGAAGCTGTAGTAACTAAAGCTCAGGTATTTATGACATGTTGATTGTTGTCCTCTGCATGCGATGACAAGCTGAAATCTAAAGCCACGGAAGGCCTGCTGCTGGAAACATCCCAAATGCTTTTGCTGGGTCAATTTTAAAGATAAGCATACGGAAATGACATCGTAGGTACTCTACCAGTAAACGAGTAACCGTAGATGATTCGCTAACTTATTCCGAGAAAAAAAAAATCGCGTCAACTTATGCAATCATTGCGAATTGTTGAAAGGAGTAAATCAGTTTAACTAATTTACTACGAGTACTTATGGACCTTCCTCTCCTTTGGTTACATTTAACCCGCGCGGTGACGAGGGGAAACGGACATGATGTTACTTTTGTATGATTTTTGCAAGAATCCTGACAAATTTATGTCGCAAGAATGCTAGGCAATTTTATACACTTACACTAGAAAATCAACACGTTTTTTTCCCAGACACATGTTAACTGCCTGCGCATTTTTAATATAAGATAAGTCCTTCACATTTTCTATGACTGAAACATATCTGCCGATTTGTACGAGCATCCCCAGCCCTGACCTCCCCCCCCCCCCCCCCCCCTCCGTTCGCCGTCAGACCGTCCTGAGTGCGCTGGTGTCGGCGGCCGCCGGCTCCACCCTCCAGGAGCCCTTCATCCACGAGTCGCGGCAGGACCAACTCGCCGTGGCGTCGTCAGTGAGCGGCTCCACGCTTCAGCAGCCATTTATCCATTCACTGCGGGAGGACCAGCTGGCCGTTCCGGCCGCGCCCGCCGCCAAGGTGGTGGCCGCGCCCGACCGCACCCCCGCCGCCCGCGTGCCCGCCCAGCCCTCACTCGACGATGTCATCGTGCTCGACGGTAGGTGTGAGCGGGGCTGGGAGATTCAGATATAGATATCACCATTCACCACATCATAGCCACGACATCATAGCCATTATGTCACGGAGCCGAGTCCTCACTTGTCCCCAATGTAGCTTCCCTAACTAATGCTTCATCATGTAATATGTAGTTGACAGTTCCCACATTAAACATAGGTACGATAAAAATCAACCGGTCAATTTTGTGATTCCATCTACGCGAGCTGGACCAGACGAAATAGAAAATCATTGAACCTTCAGTCCTTCATCATAGAATAGTGATAGAGCGAGTGCGACCCCATTTGGCGACGCTTCTGGAGCGCCGCTGTTCTGTCCGGTAGGTACTCTGACCACGGAAAGTCCGCGGGCCTTGGCAGCTCAGCGGCCCCGGACACACCATCTTAGCTGGGACGCGGCAAAGGCCACCGATCACCGTTTACAGACACCGCCGGCTTACAGCAGCGCCTGTCAGACTAAGCAAGCCCTCTATTACATTTTAGCTGTAAATGATGTTCAGCTGTCGCCGTTAAAGCGCACTACAGAGACAATTACATCGCTGATGACATCGATGAGTTCACCAAGTGAGGCCACCGGTGTCTGGCGAGTTTGGATCATGTTCCGGGGATAATTCTAGAAGAGTGCAGTTATATATCGAGTGGTGTGCTGGGAACACATCCTGTTGGACGGTATGGACGTGTCGTACGGCGCAGCGTCCGCCCCTCCCCGCAGTCTGTCTGAGTGTCTCGGTCGAGTGGAGAGGGAGGGAGGGGGAGACAGTGGGGTGGGGCCGGATGTGGTAACCTTGTCGGTGTGTCATTGACGGGATGATACAACGGGCGACGGCCGACGCTAGAGCATTCCTAACCAAACCACCAATCTGTAAAAGAAGAGCAAAAAGAGCACGATATTTCAACTCAGCTGATCCAGGAGCAGTGACTGCAACTAGCAGAACAAACACAACCTGGCGACTCTTCCGAGATCTCGGGAATCAGTGGCGGCGTAACAATTTAGGGGGGCACTGCCGACTTTTGGTCCCATTCTTTCCATGCAACGCCCATAGGGCTAATGTTAAAATGCCAAAATCAAAAGGGGCACGGTGCTCCGGTGCCCCCCACGTTCCGCCGCCTATGTCGGGAATCGGAGACTTCAATGCAGAGTACGATCCTAACCTGCGGCCGTCGGAGACTGCAGCAGAGCACATGGGTGTAACACTGGTCAGAGTGTGAAGGCACTGATTCACGTCTTTTAGTTTGAGAATTAACTCTAGCATCTGTGTTTCTGTGAACTCTACCATGCAATGTAGCATGGTTCTGCATGCATCAGCAAATCAATGACAATTGATGTCATAGAAGGATGAGGGCATGGCCTAGTTTGTACTAGGCAATCCATGTTGCGTTACGCATCCACGCTGCGTTACGCAGCGTCTGCAAGGTCAACGAAAATGCCTGAAACCATTTACCGTCAAACGATATTAGAAAAGTAAGATAAATAATAGGGCAAGCAAGGGAAAAGGACAAAAAAGAGAGGGAGTGAATGAGTGAATAGTTAGAGAGAGAGAGAGAGAGAGAGAGAGAGAGAGAGAGAGAGAGAGAGAGAGAGAGAGAGAGAGAGAGAGAGAGAGAGAGAGAGAGAGAGAGAGAGAGACAGAGACAGAGAGAGAGAGAGAGAGAGAGAGAGAGAGAGAGAGAGAGAGAGAGAGAGAGACAGAGACAGAGACAGAGACAGAGACAGAGACAGAGACAGAGACAGAGACAGAGACAGAGACAGAGACAGAGACAGAGACAGAGACAGAGACAGAGACAGAGACAGAGACAGAGACAGAGACAGAGACAGAGACAGAGACAGAGACAGAGACAGAGACAGAGACAGAGACAGAGACAGAGACAGAGACAGAGAGAGAGAGAGAGAGAGAGAGAGAGAGAGAGGGAGGGAGAGAGAGAGAGAAAATAGAGATAAAACCCCCGTTTCATTCTCATTCATACAAGGAGGCTCAATCATCTGCTCTGGCACATCCCTGTCTGTGATTCGCGGGCAGAGTCGGATCTGGCGCGGGGATGGGGTGCCGTGGGAGGTGCTCTACTGAGAGGCTGGGCGGGGGGGGGGGGGGCTGTCAAGAGTTCAAACGTGTCCGGGTTGAACACCTCTCGTGCGTCAGATCCGCAATGTCAGACGCCGTAGGAGAGGGCGGGATCGGCACGGATTGACGAGCGAACCGAGCCATCTGGGCGCGGCCAAACGGAGCCCGACGAGCCCGCCTGTCCGGGGAGAGGAACAGAGAGCAGCGCCCGAGGGTGGCAGCTCTAATAGCTGTGTCCGATCACGCTGTTTGTTGAAACATTGCATCCAAGGTCGGCCGGCTTCACGCAATCAGCCAACGGCCCGTCACGGTCGCTGCCTCGCCCCCGCCGCCGGTTAGAAGAGATTACGGCACGCGCATCTGCTTCACGCTCAAGTAAACGTAGCAAGAGGTCCCTCTCGGCCAATAACAGTGGACGGAGGTTGGTCGTGTCGGGAGGACTAACAGTGAAGACAGAAAATTGGGAACGGCGGTGAAGACGCTACAAGGACAAAGTCCAATGGGGCAATAACAGCTGTGCGCGGGAAACTCACTGCATCGGTGAAGTTATTTACAGATCTACTTGTGAACTTCCAGTCGTTGGCATTTCCGTTCCCTGTGCGGCTCCTAGCACCACTCACTCATGTGTGATGCCCCATGGAATTGGACACTTCTCAGTTTGTGTCGCTGACCGCGCACCCTTCACTAGAATGTGCCTTTGTCCGGACGTGCATAAAGCTGAGCCGAGTCTGACTTGACTCGAGTCCTCCCGTCCATCTCAATCCCATCACACGGTGCCTACCCCCGGTACGTCACAGCTCGGGGACAGTGTGAAGGCCGTGATTTAGCGCGCTGACAGCTAGACTGGATACTTCTCTGTTCAGTCTTACTCGATACTTGATACTTATTTTGATTTTACTTGATTTTGGGTTTACGGGTACCACACAAACTTGTATTTGGCCCCATTGCTGCAGTCTTGCTTTTGCTGTCTTCTTGGGAGTGGATCTCTGCTCGGTCTGTCATACAGACACACTTACGGTCGATCCACTGCGTGTCGCTGCCAGCCACGGGTTAGAGCATTGTTTAGAGCGAGATAGAAGCTCTTGGTGAAGCCGGTCGCCAACACGACTTCACCGTTTGTTGCGCGGAGCGGGAGAGATGTGTGTAAACTTGTCAAGGGAACCCCGAGGAGCCGGTAATTGTAAAAGCCAAAGAGATCCGGGACGTTCCGACTCCCAGCGGCATCCGGAATCTGAGTACCTGTCAGACCAACACGGACCGGCACCCAGCGAGCAGCCGGCAATCCTATCAGTGTGACAGATGACGACTAAATCGTGTGGGTGGGACTAAGCGCAGAACACAGCAGTTCAATGTGATGCGTCACGGCTCAAGCGAGCGTAACATAGATGGGCTCAGACCGGACCGTGTTGTAAGATATCTGGGCGGCATTCTGATGGGGATAACAACATTCTCAGTAATTGCTTATGTTAGTGTCCATTGTCCACTAACATGATCGCGATAACCATTCAACACAAACTGAAGGCCGGAAAATTGTGGATGTTTCATGATCCACTACCAAATGTTCTATTTTTTGGCCTTAAAATCTTTTGTCTTTTTCATCTTTCTTTTCTGCGGTGTTTTCAATTTTCACCCTTACCGCAATGCTCTATTCACTATATTTCACAAGAACGATCATCGTCCCTCACCTAACAAACACATGCAGACTGCTGTCTCCCCTCGGTAACACCCCACCCCTATCTCCCCAGGCTCTGAGGACGAGAGCAGCCCTGCCCCGGCCCGGCCGGCCGTAGTTCCGCCGCCGTCTCCGTCGCCCGCCGCCGGCGCCGGTCTGCCCGCCTGGCTGCGGGGCGCGCTGCCCGTGCCGTCTCAGTACCCCGCCTGGCTGAGGGCCGCCGCACCCACCGTGCTCCTCCTGCAGCCCATCTACGTACCGGTGCCCGTGTCTGAGGCGGAGGTCGCCGCCGTGCGCCGCCAGGGACTGGACTACTACGGAGCTGCCGACCCGGCCCGCCTGAGGGGTCTGAGCCGCTAGGGACGGCACGAGCCGTGTCCCCTCGGACCCGGCCCGGCTGAGGGGTCTGAGCCGCTAGAGCACGAGCCGTGTCCCCTGGGACCCGACCCGGCTGAGGGGTCTGAGCCGCTAGGGACGGGCACGCGCCGTATCCACCTAGAGCCGTCGGAGCCATCGTCGGCCCGGACAGAGGAGATAAGCCCTCTTCAACATGGTTATTCTCATTAGATTTTGACGCATGAGTTATTTTACTTTTTTTAATCACGTATAATAACTACCATTAGTTTCCGGTTAGTGGCGTAGATTTAACCGTTGACGACGGGCATTTCGAGCGCATTTCTGGAAATAAACCTATCGCCTACGCAGCGTTTTATGATTGATTACCGAAATCATGAGTCAAATGAAGTTATAATCATTTCAATGTGAGCACTGAGCAAAATGGTCAACTTGATGGTTTTCTGAACAACTTGCACTCGACAACTTGAAAGTTCACGAATGAACTGTTTACCAACGTTACACTTAAGGACTACACTCTTAGCCTATTGGGTCTCTCACAAAATACTTTGTACATATGGCCGAGTTGAAATCTCGATGATTCAATACGATTACCAATTAGAATCAGACAACGCGTCCTTAAAACTCAACAGCGTAAAACTATGCACATTCAAGTTCATTGTATTATTGTCTGTTCGATCACTTCCACAAAACCTCTCTTGAGAGCAACATTAGCGTTGGACCAACATCCCCTCCACATCGCGGCAGGGGAACCATTCCTGAAGCCTTGTCATTGCTTCACCACATAGTTGGAAAAATACCACAACTCCGTCCCAGCCCAGACAGTGCTGCCGCGACGACGGACCCTTTCACATCTGCGGTCCACCATCTGTCAAACTGCCGGTAAGCTGGTAAACGGGTAGGCAATAGGCATTCAGCAGGTGTCGCCGGGCGGCTGGTGTCTAGGACGGCCACCGGGGCAGCTCAGACACCGCTGGCCGGTGTAACGCGTCCCTGAGGCGCGCCCACCGCCTCCACGGCTGACAATGCGTTGAGAGGATCTGGTCGGTCTGTGCGCCCCTGAACCCAGAGGTGCCCGCGGGGGAGAAGTGATAACTCAGCTGGTTGGCTCCGCTCCGAACCCCTCCAGACAGAGCAGTTTCCAGCTGTCGTCCTTCTTCAGCAGGGGAGGGAACCGTAGGTGCGGCTCTGCCGGCAAAGAGGGGCGGATAAACGTCACCTCACGTCATCACACTGCCGAAACATCACGACTGCTTCACAGAACACGAGGGTAACTACTAGTTACCTTGACGAATCACTATGTAGTTACTAGTTACTGACTAGTAACTACATAGTGATTCGTCAAGAATGTGGATTGTTGATAGGAGTTTAACAGGGACGTCGTGGCAGCAGGCGTTTCCGCGACAAACGAGCACTACTGAAGAACTCCGCCGCGGAATTATCTCACATCAGGACTTGTGACAGAGTATCAAGGGCACAGGTACCCCACCATGTCACATTGCTCAATGTTATCTCCTGCTAAAGATGTCACCTTAAATCTCTGCAAAACAGCAACACGTAGAAACTTCGGCGAAAAACCCGCAATCCTTAACAAGCATGACTCCACGTGCAAAACACGATGTCGTCCGCTAATCCGCGGATAACGAGAGCATTCTGATCTCCTCTCACCTGTCATCAAAACGACACCTGGTAGCTTTGGACGCCGCCAAGGTCTTCTAAATCATCGCAGTCAGGGGCCCTCCCGTCCACCGAGCGGGCACGTCTCCGCAGTGCAGTCTCAGTCCTCCCCTCCCCATGGGGTTGACACGGTGGAAAGCACCCCGTGTGATCAAGAGGTCCCCACGGGCCTCTCCTTCATTTTTCTTTTCTTAGCATTATTTGACGAGCCAGTGTCGCCGTTTGAGAGCCTGAGCATAATTGATTCGTGGATGGTGCGATTTTTTTAGCTGAAGCCGGTTTCTAGTTTCTTAGGTCAGCTCAAGTCACATGAGATCAGACCAACGCCGTTTGGGCTGATTTTAAACATTTAAAAACGAAAGATCTTCCAACCTTGTTGAGTTTGTATACCACATTCCATCCATCTGTATATCCCCGTCCACCCCCACCAACATTTTCCACCAACAACATTCACCAACACCAACAACAACACCACCCCCTCCAACTCACCGAGCTGTGCCATCCGCGCCGCGTACGCCGTCTGCGCGGCGACCGCGTCCCCTCCGGCCTGCGCCAGGTCGGCCAGCTGGTTGGCGGTGACGGTGGGGCCGAGACCCGCCGGCGGAGGCTGAGCGACGGCCGCTGGCTCGGGCCACACCTCCGCCGCCGCGGCCGGCAGGGTGTCCAACAGGGCCGCGAAGGAGCACTGCAGACCGCCGGCCGGCTCGTCCAGGGAGTGTTGGACCAGCGCGCGCAGCAGCGCAGACATCTCCTCTGCGGAGGGTGGGGAGGGTGGGAGTCAGATGCGTGCGCTGGATACTCAATGGCAGGACAAAGGGGATGCTGTCAGGAACGACGCAAAGGGGCACACAACACTGGATCGTGTGTACGATGTCGTGCATGATAACCCCGTGCAGCTTTTCTGCGCACTCTGATGACCCCCGCCCCCCCCCCCCCCCCCCCCGAGTACTTCGGTTACCTCTGTGTGCTCTCATGACCCCTATGTATTCTTGATGACGTACGCAGCTGACCCCTGTAGTGTGTAACATGGTGACTCTTTGTTCTATGGTGATCCCTATACCCTCTAACGACTCACCTGTGAGCGCACTGGCCTCCGTGATGAGCGCGTGGCAGGCGGCCACCAGCGCCAGGTCCTCGAGGCCGCTGCCCTCCCGCAGACTGTACTTTTTCCGCTCCTGCTTCCGCCGAGACTTGCTGGAGCGGAACGTGCGGCTGACGGAAGACGAGGGGTCGGTCAATAGGGTCGCCACACCGCAGCTCTATGGCACTACATGGGTATAGGGGCATTCCACGTCAAGTGAGACAAAAAATGATCGTTTTGAACCTCACCTCCTCCGATTTTTGCGAAACTTTGTGAAACTACTCGTCTATATGTGAAAAGAAAGGAGACATTTTTTTGTCAACATATGACGTCACGTTTCCGAGATTCACGTCATCAAACATTGACTTAGGCAAGGCACATTATCATCTTTAAACCGTCATAACCATTGAAGTTTTAGACATATCACCACGAGACAAAGTGTGAAATGGAGGGAATAGATCAGGCTTTAATTTGAGGATAACAACATTGAAGCAATTAAATAATTAGTGAACTTAATTAAAATTCAAAAAATAAATTTTGATTTTCTGAAAAATGGGTACCCTTCGATTTTGCTGAATTTTACATATTTTATTCTCCTATATATAAGCTACATCATATAAAAAAATCCAGAATGGGCCGACGTCTACGTAACTGTCTTTGGACTTCGTAATGTCTGGCTTTCACGTGTTTCGTTTTAGCAACCAAGGAGAGGCGCTACCCGGAGATGCTTCTTTCTACCCCAGCAAAGCAAACCTGACCTGACCTGACTTGACCTGACCTAATCTAACACGCGTAAATATGTACAGCCCTCACGGCAGTTGCCGACTGGCCAAATGCTTCTTAGATACGAACGCCCTCACGACAGTTGCCGGCTGGCCAGATGCTACAAAACGAATGCGTGTTAAAACACTTCAGGCTGACCGGCCGCGAGCCAGCGACCTTTAGATTACGAGGAGGTGGGTACACTCGGCACGATTACTACTTAGTACTTAGCCACGAAGATAGCTGGTCATCGTAAGCCAGTTTTTTTTTTAATGATGAAATTGGGCATTCTCCGGGCAGCGCCTCTCTTTGGTTGCAAAAAGGAAATACGCCTGACTCTCCCAGCGCTAGGGGAGAAAGGCCCGTTTTAGCCAGAAAGGTATTTAAAAAAAACGGAATTTGAATTGTAGGTGGGGCGGTAGGGAACTTTATCGTGTGCCGATTTCATAGCCCTAGATCAATATCTTCAAGATCAAATGAGGTTAAACGTGATCAAGTTTGCTATAGTGACTATTTTGCGTTTATACGCCCATAGCTCTAAGAGTTACAGGCCGATTTCCCTATTTCTTCCTTTATACATTTGTAGTGTTATGAGAATCTCTGTTTAATCTTACCATAAATTTGGCAGTTAGTGGCCTGTTAAGAGTAAGATGTCGCCGGCAGAGGCGGGGATCGGCCGACGCGGGAAACGTTTCAGTCACAGATAGTGTTTGCACCCTAATAACTCAATTTTTACCAGTTGATTTTCGTATTTATTTGAACATTAGATTGCCTGTCCATTTTTAGGCCTTCACACAAAATTTGACACGAATCGATCATAATCAGCGGTAAGAAGCGCGGTGCAAAGATGGAACCGTCCCGCGCCGGCACAGTCTACCATTCAGGCGGCAACGGCCGGCGCCGGCCGCCGCGCCGCTCCGGCAGGATGTTTGACTGTACACCGCTATTACTAGAAAAGTTGTGGACCGATTTACTTATTGCTTGCACGTGAGGATTTGCAATTCAATTCTGGACAGATACTGAAATTTTGACGTTAATATGATAATTATGGCGTGAGTTATTGGCGATAAACTGGTGGAGTTAGCGAAATCGGCCCCTTCCACCGCCCGTGCTACGCTGCACTACTTGCTGCTATATCATCCAAAGTTACCGTTGTCCCATTCTAATTTTCTCATTACGTGTGCCTTACGTGTAGTGGAAGACAATATCAAAATTTGAGCAAAATCGAAGGGTACCCATTTTTCACAAATTACATTTCAAAAAATTAATTCAAAATAAAATAAATTCAAAATCACCAAAAAATATATAAATTGTTAAATTTAACTAGCATAACTCTTTATGTACACGTTTCAGTTTGTTTGAAATTAATAGCTTCAAAAATGTTGAAGCTATATATCTTTCAAGATTGCAATACACGTCCAATTCTGCTCAAAAAGCAAAAGTTTAGCGACTTGTATCTCTGTAGCCCGAGGGCATATGACAAAATCCTTTCACCCTCAGAGGTTTCACCCAATAGCGAATAAGTATACCAAGTTTGAACAAAATCGCAGCGGTGGCCGATTTTGGCTGTCCCGGTTGACATGGAATGCCCCTATAGTAATATAACATCAGCTACCCTACTCAACGAAACGAAACTCAACTCGGACAATTCAACAAAGGCAACGATAACATCCACCCAGTGCAGACGTCGAGACATAATGAGACGGAAAAATCGATTGAAGGATGCCCTAGCTGACTAATACAAGTTACACGGGCGGTTCTTTTTTGCGATGGCGTAGGTTTCGTCCAAGGTTTCGACTACATATTCGTCCATCATCTTCAAGGAGAAAAATGAGAATGTGTGTAGGTGAGGTATGATGTGACTGAACTATCGAACAACCTAAAAAGCTTCCATTTGGTAAGCTGGCCACCTGCAATGCATTATGACACTAACTGACTTTGGGGGATAAAGCTATCAGTGAGTAGTAAGTATCTGTGGGCGCCTCTCGTCAGGCGCGGTGGCGCTCAGAGCTCACCCCGATGATCCGGAGCTGGCGGACACCCCCGACACGCTGCTCGAGTCCGAGTAGAGGTCGCTGTCGGCTCCAGCCGGCCCCTCGCCGTCGGCCAGCTGGCACCGCTGCCGGCTCAGCAGCTGCAGCTGCTGGGCACGCACCACCGCCAGCCGGGCGCGACGCTCGGTCAGGGTGTCCGAGATGCGGCGCAGTGTGTCTGCCATGTTGGCCGCCGCCCGGTGGAGCGCCGGCACCACCAGCACCGCTGTAAGAGGACGGGACAGGGTTAAATCAGCGTGCAGAGGAGTGACATGGTTACTACAGTCGACACACTGTCACCACAGCTATACAGCGATGAGGGTGAAGTGTGCAAAACGATGACAGCACCAAGCTCCGTGTCGCTTCGAGCTGTTCGAATTTGACGAGGGCTCAGTCGGGCAAGAGCGAAAGTGAAAACCATTTGTCAGAAGTGGGATTCGAACCCACGCCTGGAGAACCAGACTGCGACCTGAACGCAGCGCCTTAGACCGCTCGGCCATCCTGACTAGGAACCCAAGGGACCGGAATGGTATACTAAACAGAGGCGCTTCCAGTCCACCACCCACAACCGCACAAATACCAAGTGACGTCACTGAAGATACCCAGTTGTCGGTTCACATGGGACGCATATAAACGTCAAGAGTCTCGCGTGTGAAAAACGTAAACCCCAGTCGGGCAGGAACGCAGTAAAATATCAATGCATTCAAGGATAGAGGATAGCATTACACTGATTGGCCGAATGGCCAATGGTTCGTAGTTCGCACCAAGGCCGTTTTACAGTGAGCAGGACTTTTGATGAACATGAACACTCACCGACCATCTGGGGCCGTCGCGCCTGGTGGCAGGCGGCCACCGCCTGGTCCCAGAGTCTGCCCTCCAGCAGGCAGGCCACCTGATCCTCTGGCTGCCGCAGGTGACGCTCATAGACCTCCGCGGCGTCTGCGCAGCGTCCGGCCGTGCGCAGCTCGGCGGCCAGTCCGGCCGCCAGCTGACGCAGCTGGTCAGCCGGCATGCCGAGCTGTCCGGCCGTCTGCAGACACTGGCGCCAGGCGCCGGCGCGGCGCAGCGCGTCCACGGCCGAAGTCTGGGCGCCGGCGCGCACGTAGAGCGCGGCTGCCTCCCAGCAGCGGCCGGCGCCGTCCAGGTGCTCGGCGAACAGGCCGCAGACGGCGCGGTAGGCAGCGCCGCCGGCCGGCAGCAGCCGCAGCGCCGCCGAGTACAGGCCGCGCTCCTGCACCAGTCGCAGCAGCTCGGGCTGACGGTCGGCGCCGGCCGCCGCCAGGTGCCGCAGAGCTGACTCGTGCCGGCGCAGCAGACAGTCGACTCGGTACCGGGCGTACTCGGCAGGCAGCTGACGGAGCTCGTTCAGTAGCGGCAGGTACTCCTTGGGGTCCTGACGGGAAGAGTCCAATGGTCAACACCCGGAGTCGGAGATGGACAGCGCACGTGCCTCTCCACTCCTTTAACATAGTACCACTAGAGACCACCGATTACTAAGTGCATAGGCAATGAACATGGAAAAGTGAAAACTGGAGCTAACATCTTGCTACAGGGTGCTTTCTGAAAAGCACAATCAAGTCCTAAAGTTAACTATATCACCTAAAACGAAAATAAGATAAAAATGAATTTTCTTCTCGCAAATTACGATTCCCACCCTGATGAGTAATCAGTCCCCAAGGCCCAGGCAATTATCCACCGTTTCCTCGCTCAGTACAGCTCCTGCCCCGGTCTGTGTCGACCTCGTACCTTCTGCGACTTTTCAGCCACCATGAGGACTAGGTCGAAGTCGTATGTGCCCATAGCCACGGAGTAGAGCTGGTCCACGTCCACCAGACAGATGAGGTAGCGGAGCGCGGCGTCGGCCGTCACCGCGCCCGGCTCGGTGGGAGGGGTGTCTGCCGACGGAGGAGAGCAGGAGAGACAGTCAGCTGGGAGACTAACAGCTCAGGGCATGCCTGCTGTACGGCAGCATGCCTACCGGCGGGGCACGTCTAGGAGAGAACCAACAAGAGGATCGGGCGGAGAGGGAGGATGCGGAATGGATACGTCTGCCTGGAGATGAGATGGTTCCTCTGACAATATGTTTTTGACAATCATGACAGTGCCGATAAACTAGGTAACACAGTCTATCAACCACACAATATCAAGTGTGAACTACATAAAATGGAACGCAAACGGAAAGGACATCAGAAACAGGAACAAGGCAATTCCTAATCCAGGAATGAAGTGACTCATCCATCAACCTAAACGAGCCAAACATAGGACCCAACCGAGACCAGCACTAACACAGCCTACGTGGGGACCCCACGCAGGCTGACCTGCACGCCCCGTCTTTAACGCGCTTCTCGCACTGCTCACCTCTGAGCTGACTGATGACCCGCAGCGCCTCCTCCAGTCGCGGTCTCGTGTGTCGCACCAGTGTGGTGAGCAGCGGCAGCAGCAGCCGACCGCGGTCCAGCCGCTCCAGGGAGTCCCGCACCAGCTCACACACGCGGTCCACCTTACCGGGAGGGGCCGCGGCGGCCGAGCGGCTCCGGTAGGACTCGCGGTAGAGGGTGCGAGTTACGTCCTCCTCACTGGCGGAACAGGGGGCGGGTGGAGACATATCGTCAATATGGAGACCGGACAGGCCAGGCAGACATAAAGTTAATATGACGTGTGATGGTAGTGGGGTTAGTGTTTAGGGCGGATGATTCTGTGGAAGTCAATGAAACGCTAACGATAGAGATGATCACAGGCCGGTACGACAACCCATCACAACCCGTGCTATATGCAGAGGCGGAGACGGCGGTTGGCCTGGGAAATGTTGCGTATTATCTGAACCTTCCGAGCACAACGTGTAATGTGCAAAAGACTGCTCACCAATAAATAGCCCAGTAATTATACCAATGGGCTACAGAAAACAGCGACCAGACGGCGACTGACCTGAGATCGGAGACGAACACACACAGCCAGCTGGGCTCATGGCGCAGCGCCGCGCAGATATCGTCGCAGCGCGCCGCGAACGTCTCCGGATCGTGGTCGACCAGCAGGTTGAGGTTGATCCGGTGCCGACGCATCTCCGAGTAGGCGGTGTAGTACTCGGCGCTGGCGGGGTGGTGAGAAACGGTCAGAGGATGAGGCGCGACAGCCGGTACATGACGACAAAACAGCGGCAGTCAGTCTTACTCTGGTCAGATCACTCCTTGTCGATGTGTGTCGGTCTCTGTAGTCTGTCCCAACGTGTTAAGCCTTTCCCGATGTTTTCAAATCCCTTCCCTGTGTTAGTCCCTCCCCAGCCTTATCATCAGGCATTCATTAACTATATTGTGCGACCTTGCATCGACGAGTGTGTCAGTTGTTGCTACCCAAGCGTTTCAGACCTTTCCCGTTGCTGTCAGTTCCTCCAAGTCCCCACACAAGCGTCCGTCAGCGAAAGCGTATCCCCATCTTATATATGGGTCAACACCTTCCTCCAATATCAGCCCAACCCTCGAGCGTCAGCTCCTTCAGTCCCACACCATCCCTCACCTGTCCATGAGGCGCGCCAGTCTGGCCACCACCAGCGGCCGCGGGTGGATCACCTCCAAGTTTCCTCGCGGCATCTGTAGCACCAGCCGCGTGTCGCCGCGCACGGCCGTCACCAGGCGCGAGCCACGCTCCAGCCGCCGAGTGCCCACCTCCGACCAGCTAGACTCCGAGACTGAGCTGCCTGTCGATAGAAAGGAGAGGTAAGCAACGACACAGCGTTATAGCTCACATGCTGACTGCTGATGCTATTGTAATAGCCATTAAAGTTCAGTGACCATGTAGATTGTGACTGGAACTTCCGTACCCCCACATTTGCCTGGTTATCGGACTAGCAGCAGCTTAAACTACGATGATGTCCAAAAGACGGCATTTTATCCAATCATCGGAAGTTGTCCCCTCAAGTCGGACTAGTCCCACCCTTCCTGTGAGTGGGACGGCGTCACAGCCACTAACCATCGGCGAGCAGAGCTGTCAGCGGCAGGCAGAGCAGCGTGTGTTCCAGTGTGGTCACCACCAGAAAGTCGTCTGACACGCCGAACGAGCTGCAGGCGGATAGCAGCGGCCGACCGTCGCAGTAGAGCCGCCGCTGGCCGGTGAGAGACAGGACGCGGCGCCGGCCGGCCGGGCCGCCGCTCACCGCTACCACCTGTGCAACAGAGAGGGAGAGTCAGCGGGACAGGACCGTCATCAACTTAACCGCTGAAAAGCCTGGGGAGACTCATACAGGAGCAGCAGCCAATTGGGACTCTAACTGGAAACTCAGGAACTTAAACGTGTAGCATTACGCTCGCTTATAATGCCATGTGGTAGAAGGAAAAAAATGGACGCTGAGTCGTCAAAGTCAAGTGGTAATGTCAGTTGTTCCAGCTGACCTGTTGTGCGGGTGTGGGCAGCCGGACCTCCGTCCCCGACTGGCCGTCAGTGTCAGTGTCAGTGTCAGTAGGGGAGAGTGGGGTAATTTGGCCGGTGGTGTAAATTGGCCGCCCCCACCTGTACGAAAGCTGATAAAAGTGAATGAAATAAATTTAGTCTCTATTCATTTGTCATCGGCAGAACTAACTCGAGAACAAATGTCAAAACTTTCCCCCTCTTAGTTTTATTCAAAATTAATAAAACGTGAATTTCGTTAGAAAATGGTAACTTTCACTTCCGTTTAAAAATTTGTATAACATGTAGTATTTGGGGCTGTAAACGAATTCCAACATTATAGCGCCATTCTTGAGCGTGTTCAGCGCTTCCAAGAGCAATTTCATCTAGTTCGGTACAGCCATGACGACTTTATAGACAAAAATTTTCAGAATGGCAATGTGGGGTTATTTGGCCGGGACTAGCGGGGCAACTTGGCCGGTGCGCTCAGAGTCACTATGCTGGGACGGCCGAGTTGTCATGGTCAATTATACCATAAAGGACATAATTCATGACCAACTTTGACTACCTTGATGCCATATTTCCTATTGGACAGCTGTAAGTGCATGTGACGTCATCAAAGGTTACCTAACGCTTTTTTGCTAATAAATACTTACAGAAAAAAGATACAGCCTCGCAAATGGTCTCATTGTCTTCAGCTAGTCAAGGCGCATCGAATGATATACATGATGACCTTGAACTCACGCAACCTTGAGGTCAAGCGACCTGAGGTAACGTGACCTGAAGCCAACCTTTGACCTTGACCTCTCGAGATCAACACATACATGTTTCGATGCGGAATGAGGAGAGAATTACGATGGTACTTTTAGTTTTGTCCTAGCTTGATTACTTCAAAAGATATTCGTAAAAAACTGTCATTGCATCTAGAGCCGCTATTTTGACCATTTTCGACCCCTGTGACGGCTGAGTCAACCTCCAAAATGCTTCAAATGCGTCGTAGGACACGCGTTATTGCTGAATGTGAAGCTGACTCGCCTATAACAAAAATCATGGCCTCAAACGAACACCGGCCAAATTGCCCCACACCCCCGGCCAAATAACCCTGCTAGTGGGGCAATTTGGCCGCTTTGCAGACCTTTGTAATACGTCACAATTTCAATATAAGTAGTTACTCTATCATTTCAAGTTTTCTGTCCAGGAAAGTAAAATGTATGCCACACCTGTCAGCGTTGAGAAAATGCAGAAATGTGTTGTCGATTTTTAGTTACATCGTTTTCTAAAAAAAGCGGCCAAATTACCCCACTCTCCCCTATCAGTCTCACTCTCAGCTGACCTGTTGCGCAGGGACCGGCAGCCGGACCCCCATTCCCGACTGGTTGTCAGTGTCGGTGTCAGTGTCGGTGTCAGTGTCAGTATCAGTATCGGGTGTCAGTGTCAGTATCAGTCTCACAATCAGCACTGACCTGTTGTGCAGGGACCGGCAGCCGGACCTCCGTCCCGGACTGGCTGTCAGTGAGCGGCCGCAGCTCGGCCGTCTCTGTGTCGAGTAGCGCCATCGAGCCCTCCTCGGAGTGGACCACGGCGTCAGCCGACCCGCCGCCCACCGCACTAGTGATGAGGGGCGCGCAGGACACCGGCACCGTGCGACTGAAGCACACACGGGGAGGTGTGGTGAGGGCGGGGTAGCTGAGACACTGTCAGGGGACTATCGCGAACGGGCACGGTATCCAGCACACAGGTGTGGGGCGAGAAAATGCAGCTTATGTGAGGGTGCATATACTCTCCCGCCCCACTTCCACTCTGATGGCCGACACTACCAGTCTCAACCGGGCCGTATCCATGAAAAGGCCCTATCCGTACCAGTCGGTTCTATCTTCTACACTTGTCTCACTATCTTAACCGTCCCGGTTCCACCATCCCGCCATACCGGCCCTGATTACATACCCTGACTGCAACGGTCCCGGGTATCACCATCCCATCGCATCGACACTCACCTCAGTGTGACGCTGACACCACCATCACCCGCCGTCTCGGGCGCCGAAACGTCCATCAGCCACAGCTGGTACCCGTCCTGAGTGTGTGCCGCGCACACCATCCGCTCGGCGCTCACCAGTTCCCAGGCCCAGGCAGCATACACCGGCGGCGCGCCACCTACGGAGCAGCTGCCGCGCCACTCGTGCAGCGGCGCGCGCGCGGCGAACCCGACACCGCCGCCGGCCGTCATGGTTACAGTGCAGCCGCCGGGGGAGGTGACCGGCTCAGCACCCAGCGGCACTGCGCAGGGAGCAGAGGAGGTCACGAGGAGCAGCAAAGGGCACAGGACGGATGTCACGTTTTATTAATAATCACATGATGATCGGGGTAAAATTATGGCTTTAGTGAGTTCTAAAAAAGCTACTATGTGTAATACGAAAAAATACAATCATGAAGTCATGAAATGAAGACGACATGGTAATCCCAACTGTCTGAAAAATACATTTATATAATAAAGACAATGACACTGGCATTGCCAATTCACAAGTGCTATGCATTTAGGCCAGATAACCCGCTGGCACCCACTCACGGAGTCGGAACGCATGCAGTCGTCGGTCGGAGGTGACTGCCCACAGCCAGTGGTCGGCGCCGGCCGGCCCCTGACACACCGCACTGACAGAGGCCGACAGTACCAACTCGTGGGCAGACATGGGCGGCGGCACGACGGTGGATGCTAGTGGAGTGATGAGAAGTCGCGTGCCGTCCGCCACTGCTGCTACTGAGGACTGGGGAGCGGTCGACCACCGCCACTGGTGCTCCCAGGTGAGCAGGCGACCGGAGCGGCACAGCACCAACAGCCTGTCACCAGGGGTCAGAGTTAGAGATACACCAGGTTAGCGGGCGACCGGAGCGCTGCCGTGACAACCCAGAAAAGCGTAACTCGCATTTTTTCGATTTTGAGATTTTGATACCATTAGATAGAGAATATCAATCTCCATCTTTCTGCAAAACCGTTTTTCGAAATTCGTATAATTTTTCGAGTTATATCAAATTTTCTTTTTTCGAGAAAAGCGTAAATGTTTTTCATCCTCCCTGACCGCAAGCAAAAAAAGCGTAACTACAAACGCAGCTATTAAAAAAGCGTATCTGCAGCGGTCAGGACGATGTGATAGGCAAGAAAAGCGCAACTAAGTAGTTGCGCAACTAACTAAGACTTTTACGCACTTGCGCTTTTTTGCCTTTCAGGTGAGTGCATAACACTTGTTAGAAGTTTAATTTTGCCAGGAAAATTTGCATTAAAAATATATTAAGCCCTTCTTGCTTGCGTTTGCCGCCTTTCTATGTTTCACCAATATCTTCTAGTAGGTATCCGGACGTTTGAATGGAGGAAAACTGTAAGATAAAAGCAACCAAAGTTCAAAACCACCAACTTGAAATAGTAGGTATAGGTATGGGGTGCCATGCCATACCCTGGACCAAGGCCACACGAGCGATATCAAATAGTTTACTTTATTTATTGTGGTGCATGCTCGCTGTGAACTCTATCAGAAGCGTGTGCAAATTGCGGTTTAGGAGCAGACTTGGTCTCTGAAGAGGTTTAGAACTGAAACGATAAAAAAAAAACGGAATTAAGGTCCACGTGCAGCTAAAGGAAAATGTGAAATCAGGAGTAGAGTCGAGCGAGTTCTGGTGAAATAGGACGATCAGGGGCGGGATCTTCCCACCTGCATTTCGACATCCCAGCATTAGGAGAGGCGACCCAACCCCACATGGACGCCCGGCCAGCCAGCACCGGCAGAGCTGACCATATGGCCGCCCGGCTTGCCCGGTCTGCCAGCCCCGACAGGGGCGACCCCAAGGCCGCCCGACCTGCCAGCACCGAAGGAGGCGACCCCACGGCCACTTGGCCTTGCAGCACCGACAGAGGTGACCCCACGGCCGCCCGGCTTGCCCGACCTGCCAGCACCGGCAGAGGCGACCCCACGGCTGCCCGGCCTGCCAGCAACAGCAGAGGCTACCCCAAGGCCGCCAGGCCTGCCAGCACCGGCAGAGGCGACAACGTGGCCGCCCGGCCTGCCCGCCCTGCCAGCACCGGTGGAGGCGACCCGACGGCCGCCCGACCCGCCAGCACCGGCAGAGCTGACCATACGGCCGCCCGGCTTGCCCGACCTGCCAGCACCGACAGGGGCGAGACCCCAAGGCCTCCTGACCTGCCAGCACCGACAGGGGCGACCCCAAGGCCGCCCGACCTGCCAGCACCGACAGGGGCGACCCCAAGGCCGCTTGACCTGCCAGCACCGGCATAGGCGACCCCACGGCCCCACGGCCGCCCGGCCTGCCAGCACAGACAGATGAAACCCCGCGGCCGCTCGGACTGTCAGAACTGACAGAGGGGAAAACGTGGCCACCCGGCTTGCCAGCACGAAATGAGGCGACCCCACGGCCGCCCGACCTGCCAGCACCGGCAGAGTTGAGCCCACGCCCTCCCGGCCTGCCAGCACCGGCAAAGACGACCCCACGGCCGCCTGACCCGCCAGCATCGGCAGAGGTGACCCCACGGCCGCCCGGCTTGCCCGACCTGCCAGCACCAGAAGAGGCGACCCAAAGGCCGCCAGGCTTCCCGACCTCCCAGCACCAACATGGGCGACAGCCGACAACGTGGCCGCCCGGCCTGCCCGACCTCCCAGCACCGACAGGGGCAACCCCAAGGAAGCCTGACCTGCCAGCGCCGAAGGAGGCGACCCCACGGCCACTTGGCCTTGCAGCACCGGCGGAGGCGACCCCACGGCCGCCCGAATTGCCCGACCTGCCAGCACCGGCAGAGGCGACCCCACGGCTGCCCGGCCTGCCAGCAACGGCAGAGGCTACCCCAAGGCCGCCAGGCCTGCCAGCACCGGCAGAGGCGACAACGTGGCCGCCCGGCCTGCCCGACCTGCCAGCACCGACAGAGGCGACCCCAAGGCTACCCGGCCTGCCAGCACCGGCTTAGGCGACAGATGAACCCCCGCGACTGCGCGGACTGTCAGAACTGACAGGGACGAAAACATGGCCGCCCAGCCTGCCAGCACGAAACAAAGCGACCCCACGGCCACCCGACCCGCCAGCCCCGGCAGAGGTGACCCCCACGACCGCCCGGCTTGCCCGACCTGCCAGCACCAGAAGAGGCGACCCAAAGGCCGCTAGGCTTGCCCGACCTCCCAGCACCAACAGGGGCGACCCCAAGGCCGCCCGACCTGCCAGCACCGACAGGGGCGACCCCAAGGCTACCCGGCCTGCCAGCACCGGCTTAGGCGACCCAACGGCCCCACGACCGCCCGGCCTGCCAGCACAGACAGATGAAACCCCGCGGCCGCTCGGACTGTCAGAACTGACAGAGGCGAAAACGTGGCCACCCGGCCTGCCAGCACGAAATGAGGCGACCCCACGGCCGCCCGACCTGCCAGCACCGGCAGAGTTGAGCCCACGCCCTCCCGGCCTGCCAGCACCGGCAAAGACGACCCCACGGCCGCCTGACCCGCCAGCATCGGCAGAGGTGACCCCACGGCCGCCCGGCTTGCCCGACCTGCCAGCACCAGAAGAGGCGACCCAAAGGCCGCCAGGCTTCCCGACCTCTTAGCACCAACATGGGCGACAGCCGACAACGTGGCCGCCCGGCCTGCCCGACCTCCCAGCACCGACAGGGGCAACCCCAAGGAAGCCTGACCTGCCAGCACCGAAGGAGGCGACCCCACGGCCACTTGGCCTTGCAGCACCGGCGGAGGCGGCCCCACGGCCGCCCGACCCGCCAGCACCGGCAGAGCTGACCATATGGCCGCCCAGCTTGCCCGACCTGCCAGCACCGAAGGAGGCGGCCGCTCGACCTGCCCTACTTGCTAGCACCGACAGGGGCGACCCCACGGCTGTCCGGCCTGCTAGCACCGGTATAGGCGACCCCACGGCCGTCCAGCCTGTCTGACCTGCCAGCACCGAAGGTGGCGACCTGACGGCCGCGATTGCTAAGCATGAAGCATGAAGTCTTAGCATGAAAAGTCGTGAGCTATTTTGAAAGGCATCTAGGCATCCGAAATGGAGAAAAGACATTTCGTCCTGGCGTATTTGAAACACCGCATATTCGCCGATACCATAAGATCTCGCAAGCAAAAGAAGCGTAACTACGTAGTTACGCTTCTTTTGCATTTCGCTATGGAGCCGCGCGCTGCACATACGGTTGCCGGACTGGAGTGAATGTAGTTACGCTTTTCTTCCCTGCATGCCTCGCTGCAATTTGAGCATCGAGTGAAAAGCAAAAACACCTTACACCATTTTCTAGCAATATCTTATATGCCACGTAAACAATATTAACACTGTTAGGTTCAGTGCAGTATTGCGAACAGTTTGACACCAAGTTTTCTTTGATTATTTAAGAACCGACGATAATACAAGGTAAAACAGAAAAATCGCTCTCCTGAAAAATCGTCAAAAGCGAGTTACGCTTCTTTTCCTTTTCACGGCAGAGCGGCACAGCACCACCAGCCTACCACCAGCGTCAGTCAGGTATGTTCCTACCTACCAGGTAAGCGTCAGAGACGGTGCAAGCACCGAGGTCAGGAACGGTGTGTGTGGGAGAGGGGAGGGCACAACGTGTCGCTCGGAGCGACTGTATCGTAATCGGGGCGGAGGAGCGAGAGGAAAATGTAAATGCGGCACTTGCATTGAATAATCGACCAAAAACATATCAATGAGGCAAACGAGTATGAAAAGGTTAAATACACAAATCAAGAATGTACTTTCCAGCCAACTGGACATTTATGCGTGAGATGGCAGAATCACGATAGATATACGTCAATGCGTGCCTGTTTATATGACCGTGGCTGCGCATGTGCATCCTGTCGGCGCTGGTCGCAGCGACTGACCTGTAGTCGGCTGCCGGGTGCCAGGTGACGGCCACCGCCCGGTCGCCGGCCGCCACCACGTGCTCCTGCTTGCAGTACCAGTGGTAGTTGCCCGTCGTCCAGAGCTGAACGCGCGACTCTGACTCTGACTCCGAGCCGAGCTCCAGCCACACGGCCAGCACCGCCGAGTCGGGACTCCACAGCAGCTCACGGACCTGCGACGCCGGCGGGATGGGCACAAAATCACCGCTCCGGCAGAACTCAAACACTAGGAAGAACAGCGGCAGGTATGACGGTCCATGTAACTACCCAGGAAAACTTTCGATGTTATAGTCAAATTTGATTTAGCCGCGACACACATGCTATTACAGTTTGCATATTTTGAGCTACTACGCATTGTGAAGCAATGTGCGTTTCAGTATTCAATCCCAAACACTCAATTGGACTCGGTAGATGATTTAAGATGATTGGAGCACACAATATCAAGTCCACCGCTCGCCGATCTTCGGCCATCGACACCGTCAGTCAGCCCACTACGCCGTCAGCGCCCACTCACGTGCGCTGCGTCCGGCGGGAAGGGCAGCGTGAACTCTCCGTGGCGCAGGCCGTTCTTCTCGAAGAAGACCACCTGTAGTTTGTTGGGGAGTCGCTGCGTGGCGGCCAGGGTGGCGCCGGAGGGTCGCCAGGCCAGACTCTGGCCCAGTGCCGCCACCGGCTCGCTGGTGGAGAGACGGCTGCCGTCGCGGGACACGACCACGAACCGGCGGGCGCCTGTCGATCGGGCGGGCCGTCATTGTAAGCCGACACCGTGGATACACAGTCACCACGCACTCAGCACTGGCCGAACAGCGCAACCAACAACGGCTTCAACAACACGCCCAGAAACGATCTAACAGCAAGACCAAAAAACAACCATGTGAGTGAGTGTGTTACTGACGTCCTGTCTTACGGTAGAGGACGCACTGCCCTGTTTTGCAGTCGTGTGCCATTCACCTGTCTCGCAGCCGAGTACGGTAAAAATGTTTAGCTCAGGTGTGTGACTGACCTGTCTCGCGGCAGAGGACGACACATTCGGTTAGCTGAGGTGTGTGACTGACCTGTCTCGCGGCAGAGGACGCTCACGGCCAGCATCTGCCCGTCGCCCCGCCAGGTGACCCTCGGCCGGCCGTCGTCCCTCCCGGCCGGCTCCGCAGTCGGCTCAGACGCCACGGCGGCCGCCTTGCCGGCCGAGCCGTGGAACTGGGTCTCCTTGCGGCCCCAGCCCACAGTGACGGGTGCCACTGCGGCGAACACGGTCACAGCAGTCAGATACCACCGCACGGGGATCGCAGAGACATCAAAGCGATACAGCCAGTTCAGTTATAGCAAAATTTATGCATAACTTGTATTATGTGTAGAATAACGTCGAGTGAGAAGCTCTTACTAGTACTGATTACCAGTTCTTGGGGCTATGGCATGTCTCATTCCTGCAGTTTTAAACTCACTGTCTCCAAACTCCTCAGAGAAGAGAGGGAGCTCAGCCACTGGCTCAAACTCCGCTGTGATGAGCAGCAGTGCTGGCTGTGAGGTGACCAGAGCAGCTAGCTCCAGGTCCGGACTCCAGCACATAGCCTGCAGCCCTTCAGGCACACTGCCCACATGCTCGACCTGGGGAAAATAGACCAGTTAACAGCTGCTGCCTTTGACAAAATTGGCATCACGTAAACAGACAGCAGGAAAAAACAGAGTATGTAGTTGAATATCTAATTCAATCTGCTGAGAGCAGCAACAAACTTGCACAAATACAGGCAGGTTTTTATGATATACCCCACTCAAAAACAAAAAGCATAGCACACCGACCTTTTGTGTGTTACAATCACACAGCAAGAATGTTCCTGCCTTGGAAATGGCAAAGAGTGCCTGGTGATCAGGCAGATACTCTGCAGCCACCACCTCATCTTGCTCTGATTGGTTGATGTGCTCAGTGAAACTGACACATGTCTCCACCTGTCAAAGCATAACAGTGTCAGGCTCTATCTCCCACTGGATACATGAAGAACCTCTTGAAATAGCCCATTTAAGCTTCAGTTGGACTCAACTGAGCACTAATCAATAGTATCTCAGGCAACTTGACTTAAGCCTAACAAAATGTTGTGATGAGAAAAAGAAACTGGGAACCAGGCACCCTCCAACTTACAACATGTAATTACAATAACCTGCATAAAACTGTCTACTAGATTCAAAAATATTAGGGAACATGAGCAGGAATTGAATTTGATCATGTCACTCACACCATTGAATGAAATATACCATTTATTAGCAGAAGAAAGATAGACTTACACCAGTCATTACTTACAGAAATTTAAATGTGAATCATAAACTTAAAACAAAAACTTACACTTGCTCCATCCAGCTTGACTATGTGCTTTGAGTCAGAAACAAACACTGTGCTGTTATCTGGGTCAGGAGATATGAAGGGTCTTCCAGTAGGTGACAAGCTTGAATCTGGGTCATTGTCCAGAGCTTGAACATCAATCTTTGAAACAACCAAGTTTCTCATCTTGAAATTTCAATTTTATCCAGTTAAGCTTCAACAGGAGACTGCAAAAATACAAATTTATGTTAAGATAATCATCAAGCCTCAATTTATAACTAAGCCTCAATTAGTTTAATCAATTAATAAATAGGTACCAAAGACAAACAAATCAAATTTTTGCCAAACCCTTCAAATATTCCACAATGACTTGTCCCTGTCAATGTGTCCACACTGTAGGGTCACTCCAAACAGCAAAGGATGGCAATTTCTTCTCTGGAAGATCTCCTTGTTGAAGGAACACTCAGCTTATGTGCATTGTGCAGTGCACTGAGGATTTACTGTGGTGTGCTGCTGCTACTTATCATTATAGTGGAGTTATTTATAAGACAAGACTACCAGCATTTAAACAGCTTACAAGCAACCAGCGTGCAGGACTGCTGTGGCAGTCGTGCAGGGTTATCCAAGAAATGAAACAATGACAAAACATAGCTGATAGCAGGGCAGACCAGGGAAAAATTATGCAATTATTAAATTACTTCTTACATAAGATCACATTTTAAAATTCCATTACTGGCTCCGCACCTTGTTGACTGGTTCAGTATCTGGTAAATGCAAAGGGTACCATTAAAACTCAACCATTTTCAAAACAGTGCAGATCAAAACCGCTGCAGTGCAGGTGGGTCGCAAAGGCAGCACTATCCTGAGCATGTCTTATAATATTTTAATGGCTACCCTGCCAGGATTTGTGGCTTGTTTTCATTGCCAATTGCCAAATTTTGCGTCTGAATATCAATACATTATATCCATTCCCGATGCTTTGAACTTTGAGTTGGCCACGTGTTTTCAGTTTCAGAGACTCAGACTGAGACGCGTCCACGTCGGCGTCGTCTGACGACTGAATCTCGATTTTGGTCTAAATCATGCATTCCCTTGAATATCCTCAGCATATTCAACATTATTTGCAATATGTTTTGTACGTTTCTATCAACCCTGCTCAGAAATAAATGCGAAATAAAAACCTAAAAATTCAGAATTCCAAATGAAATGTCCCCGCCTATTTTGTCTTTGATCCGCAGGATACGTCTCATAATTTCGAGTTAAATTGCTGGCACCGATCAATCCATGCCACTTGGCAGTGATTTACATCTTACACACTGCAGTGCACAGTGCACACGCTTATTGTGCTCTACGATATCTACAAACAGAGCTGCATGAATAATAATTTCAAGGTATGATTAGTTTCATACAATAAATCAGTTGGTGTGTCATACTGCAATGCGATTGTTTGAACCGAGAACCAGGCACCACTTTCCCTTTCATAAAGTTCCAAAGCCTTGGGGGACGGTTATCTAGCTTACCGGTTATTCGGATTACTAATTTGCAAGTGGCGTAGATGTTTAAAGAAAAAAACGCAGCATACCCCTCAGTCCCTCATCTCAATATCCTCTGCGGAGATACACGGTATTACTATATTGCCCAGTCAGGCATGAGTTGGACCACTGTCGCCTGTACCCGACGTGCGGCCTCAGATCAACATGCATTGGTAGGGAACTTGGGCAGATGCCCACTCCAGCTTGGTTGGAGATTCTTTGCGGCGGTGGCCTTGCTATCACAGTGGCCGTATCCCTACACATGGTCTACGCTCTACACTTCGCAGTCTCAGCGTCGACCACTAACAGTCAGTAAACATGCCCAGGAGTCCAGGACGAGATGTGATTTATCATGGGAAATCTTTATTTCAAGACCAGAGACGGTACACAATCGCCGATTTCGTTTTGAGGTCAATAAATAAGGTTACCTGGGTTGATCGAATCGAGACTAACACAAACAGCATATATAATGTTTCCACCCAACAGCTGGGTACTTAAATGTTTGACAAAGCTGCGTCATGCGAATGAAACGACCAAGGTCCTATATACCTGAACAGCAAAATGACTACAGTGGTAAGACAATAGAGAGAATGAAACATACACCATTTTATTGGGCGGAGAGTCAATGGTAAGGAACTGTGCGACACGTACCCCATATCTCACAAGCGTGAATCATGTTTGTGTCAAGTGTCAGCGCATCTTTGTCACACACTCAATCTTCTTACCGATACACTGCGTCCGTCGCAATCTATGCATAAGTGACCGTAAACGGCGCATTGCTCCCAAGTGTCCAGCGCCTCCAAAAATAGATCACGGTGCACGCGACTGGCCAGGTAGGCACATGAGCGGTCATTCCTTCAGCCTCTGTAGGCCACACACCACACTACACGTCTATCAGGCCTGAGTCAGTATTCAACGGCAGCCGGCGCCCGGCAGAGACCACGGCTAAATAACCCGCACATCACACACTAAGCGTCGGTCGCGGACCCGCGCAGCACCATCACACGTCTGTGCGCCGGGCGCGGTACATATTCACCTACTGTTCGGACTGCGCGCCGGCGGCGGGCGTCTCTGCAGCCGGCGTGCTCTGTCCGGCGTCCAGCTGCGGCTCGCCGAGCAGCTGTCGCAGCTCGGCCCGGCGCCGGTAGCGCTCGCAGCGCGGGCAGGGAGTCGGCCGGCGCCAGCAGCGGCTGTGGTACAGGCCGCAGCACTGCCGGCACTGGCGCGTCGTCTCCAGCTCGAACGGGTAGATGATGTTCTCGTCCCGGCAGAACTCGCACACAAAGCCGCGCTGGCTGCACAGGCTGCAGTTCATCACGTGCTCCACAGCGAACTCGACCACCGTCTGCAGGGTGCTCGCCAGAGAGCCGTTCCGCGTGTCACGCAGGTCCACCGGCGCGTACAGGTGCACGTGCTCACAGAGGTGGCGGCGCCCCTGCAGACGGCGCTCCAGATCGGCGGCCGCGCCGCTACGGCACGTGTGCAGAAACGCGTTCAGAAACACGAGTCGAACACGCAGCAGGCGGACGCGGTCCATCTCGGCGCTAACGTTGTAGATGCTGATGTTGTGCTCGGCCACGTTGATCGTTGGCTCCGAGTCGACCTGTTCGAGGAACTCGCGGTTACAGCGTGCCACCGGGTATCGGTCAAAGTCCCAGTTGTGGATGATGCGGGCGGGCAGCTGGGCGTGGTCGCGGCCCGTGTGGCAGTCGCCGCAGTACAGGGCGCCGTCCAGGGTACAGAGGCGCGGCTCTCCGTACAGCATGCCCACGAACCGATGGCAGCTACCGCACGTGTACTGCTGTTTGTCCAGAGCTCCCTCAGCAGGGATATCCGTCAGCCAGTAGTAGCGACTGTCCACCGTCTCTGGTACCGGCTGTTCGTCCGCGGCCGGCTTCTCCTCACTCTGCTCGGCCGAGTCCGGTGCCGCGTTCTCTGCCGGCGGTTTTTCCGACTCCCCGCTCCCCTCCAGATCGTTGGCGGCGCCGGCCGACGAGGCAGCCGACGCACCCGAGCTGTCTACACTGCGTCCGTACATGAACTGCACGTCCGGTGTCTGCATCAGGGAGCGGGCACGCGGGCTGCTCTCGCGGTAAGACTCCAGCACACTGATGTACGACTCGCTCGGAGGCGGCGGCCGGCCGGTGATTGCCGCCACCTCGCCCGCCAGACTGCTGGCCTCGGAGTTGGTGCCCGCGCCGCCACCTCCGCTGGTAGTTTCATTGACCATCGCCGACGGCCGTTCTACACACGACGAGCGCATGATGACATCAAACGCCATGTCTGGGTCGAGCGCGTTCATGATGAGTGTGGGCGCTCGCGGCTCGGGCAGGGGCAGCGTCAGCTCGGCCGGTGGCTGCGGCCGCGGTTTCTGCTCGGGTATAGCAGCCGCCACGTCCTGCGCCTGTGCCACGGCGCCTCGTCCCAGCCGCCGCGGCTGGAACCAGATGCCCGCCATCTCCAGCGACATCTCATCCCACGTGTTGAGCAGGCTCGAGTTGGTAGCCAGCGCGAAACGGAGCGTCTCCAGGCCCTGCAGGTAGCGCATCACAATCTCCATCTGCTCCTGGTCTCGCATCAGCGACAGTCGGTCGTAGTGATAGCCGAGCAGCCGAGTGTCGGCGATGATCATAGCCATGTAGCTGGTGAGTAGTCCGTCGTTGAGCGCGCCGCGCAGCCACGAGCGCGCCTTGCCGATGTCGGTACGGATCTGGGAGAGGGCGCCAATCTGTTCGATGACATCACTGTGGCTGACGACGAGCAGCGGCGGCCAGAAGTTGGGCTCCGGCGGCCGCGTGTCGCTGATGGCGCTGGTCACCCGCTCGAGGAACGAGTCGCGCAGGCCGTGGATGAAGAGCGCCTCGAGCGCGCGGCACAGCTCGTTAGTGAGCTCGCCGCTCGGTATGGGCTCGTCGCTGTCGTGAAACTCGTGCTGCACGGCCTTGGTGCACTCGCTGAGGGTAGCTACCAGCCGCAGGCGCAGCTCTCGGTGGTACTCGATCACATCAGCGGTGGCCGGCAACCGGTGCCGAAACAGACGCATCGCCCGCTTCACCGACATGTTAGAGCCGCTCCTTCCAGCCGTAGCGGTCCTCTAGCACGCGGCGCGTGGCCCACTCGGCACTGCCGGCTCGCACGATATGAAACGTGCCTGCCTGTGACAGGTCGACCACAGTACTGCCTAGCCTGGCCAGCGGACTGTCGCCCAGCGTACCTCCGTCCACCACACAGGCGAGCTGGTTGTGCAGCTCCGAGAACTCGTCCGCACGCAGTGGGCTGGGACGACCGCTCAGATTAGCACTGGTCAGAGCTAGAGGTCCGCCGCAGCGCGATACTAGGTCCAACAAAAAAGGATGGTCAGGCACACGCACGCCCACCAGCTCCGTGTGCGGGTTCAGCTCACCGTTGAGCGCCGGCGTGCGTCGAAACACGAGCGTCACCGGTCCGGGCAGCAGGTCGTGCAGCAGCGCCTCCGGGGCGGTGACGTGCGCCCAGCGGCCGATCTCCTCCGGGCGAGACACGCAGATGGCGATCGGTTTCAGCTCGCAGCGCCGTTTGATGGTGTACAGACGGGCCACGGCACCGGCGTCCTGTGCCAGCGCGGCCAGGCCGTACACAGTGTCGGTGGGCAGCGCCGCCACGCCACCGCGCCGCAGGTGCGCCGCGACTGACGCCGCCAGCTGCTCGCGGTCGCCCTCGGCCAGCGAGAGCAGCTCGGGCATCGACTCGGGGAGGGGACACACGTCGCCGGCGCGGCGCAGGCTCGCTCGTGTCACCAGACGGCTGAGCGGCGCGGGTAGGCGCGTCACCAGCGAGTACATCCACCGCGCACACACTAGTCCTTCCAGCGATGGCCGCACGACGGGTTGCAGCACTTGTAGAATGTGGTCATAGGCTCGTCGGCCGAGCGGGTCTGAATCTGCATAAAGTAGGCGCGTCCGTGTCGGCACTCTGGGCAGGTCTCGGCGGTCGAGTCGACGTTCTCCCAGGCGGCGGCCCCTCCGAGCACGTCGTCGACTTCCTTCAGCTTGGGGTACGTGCGGCTGCCCAGCTTACGGCGCACGTTGTGCACGTACGGACAGGTGGCGCAGGCGAACCGGTAGCAGTCGCGGCCCTCCTCGATGATGAGAATGTTGGCGCAGGTGGGACAGAACATCAACATGTCGCACCGTCCAGCATACGCCCGTCGCCGTCAGAATTCACTGCCGGGAGAGACAGACACGCACGGTCAGATGGTACAGTCGCACAGCATGATCCACGGACTCACGGGAGGTACGAACGGATGGATGGGCATTAGACGGGCGGACCGACGGACAGCTGAAAGCAGTAGGTAGTTGAAAAGGACAACAGGTTGTCGGTAAAATAAGACAACAATGGGCACTGTTGATGCATCTACATCGCATTTTAGCGATTGAGAGTGAATCGCGAGAGCAGACATTTTTGACATTCCTTGCTAAGGTGACTTCTCGAATAACTACCGATCTTAGCACATCAAGGCTTCTACGGCCTTTTTCTCAAATAAGAAAATTGAAAAGACGCCAGCACTGAAAATGACTCCGATGACTCACGAGGAACAATTGTTCAAAGTGCGTAAACAGGACCACTTCGTGACACATGTGGTCAGACATATTTGGACTTTGCTTGTGAAAATCGGTGTTAGCGTCGCCAAGGAACAAAATAAACGACCGAAAACAAAATAGCCGCTGCCTGACTCATAGAGCAACACACACACGCACTGATAAGCAGATAGGCAAACGAGGTGTTTACACAAACTGCTCCGCCAGTACATCTGCGAGAATGTCTAAAGAGTCTGAGAAAAGTTAAGAACAAAGGACCTCAGCCATCTTCTGTGGATACATCATACGTCATCAAACTGCGTCAGAGGCGTGACTCATGACGATGGACATGAACATTCAAATGATACATCGATAAACAGATCAACGGGCAGCTTGAAAGCCAAAGTAATGCCCACTAAACCCAGCTGGGCACATTGCTTAGCACCTGATCAACTACTCCTTCGCTCATGACCTTCTCAGAAGATAAGTGACAAACAAATGTCACATTCACAAAGACGGTAGCTGATATTTGATAGTTTCTTTCGCTGACGCCTTGGTAGTCAATCTTGCTGAATGGGGAAGTTTACGTAAAACGATCCGTCACCCTGAGTTCGAGTCCTGTCAGCTGTCACGGGATATACACGTGGCCGACCAGCCCCCCTCCTGGCCAGCATAGCACGGCACAGCGGGAGCGGGAGCAGGAGCGGAGGCGACATGACCATCGCACCGGACCCCCCACCGACAGATAAACAGGGACACGTTAGAGTTAACTGGAGGTGGGGGATGATGAGGCGTCCTACTCCGCGCGTGACGTGTGGGGGGGAGGGAGAGGGGGGAAGCTACTGATGTCGAACCCGAGATATGCCGATGAAAATACTCGTCTAGTGTGGCCGGGTTTCTGCTGGCGAGGAGGAACTGATAGCTTCTATTTTCGTATAGGGAGAGTTTGTGGTCATCAGGAAACACATTGTAGGCGTAGAGCACATCTTTCAAATGCTTTGTGAGCGGGACAAGAGAAGCCGGTAAGAGACCAGACGACACCATGTGTTAGTTAATATATACGAAAGGTATGGATCAACCTAACACTAAAGACTAAACCATGCATCACAGAGCCGCACATCGACCCAAGCACACATTCTGTAGCCCGAAACGCACACAACAGCCCACATCAAAGAACAAAAACCGTAACGACAATCTACACAGAACCCCGTAGCGAGCTGAGTGCACAAACAAAGAACCTCACACCCACCACAGGAACGCATTTTATCTAGCACCCAGCACAGACAGACCGCTGCCAACGACACAAATCATAGAACGACCCACTGCCTAACAGCACACATAATGGCACCCACTACATATAGACCACTGCAAACGGTAAACGTTATAAACACCGCACCATCCACAGCACAAACTTTATGCAGAGAACCGTACCGCCCACAGCACACATGTTATGCATCATCGACCACGGCGTAAATACACTAAAGAACCCACCGATGGACGCCAATCCAATCATCGTGCGACGCTTACGCCACCTGTCGATGGCGGGACTGACTCACCACCTGTGGCACCGCACTCACCGCAGGAGACACGACACAGGGCGCCCCGCCCCACCCAACCCGCGTGTGTTAGTCGACAGTCACACAGGATTAGGGCGAGACCACACGCGGGAAGTCAGATTGGGTCGATTAGAAACGCAAACTGCACAATACCGGGCGCCGCTGATGGCATGGTGCGCAATTAGAGCAGCTGATAAATCCATACTGGTGAGTGTTCGGGACCCACATGAATGCAATGACGAAACAGAGGATCATCAGAATGATGGCGAGATCAATACCAATGAATATTTATCAGCCCGCACAGGTGTGAGTTTAGGAGGAGGGGTGAGAGACGATACCTTGAGGAGACATGCTGCCCGCCGCCCGGCGACTGCCGCACTGCCCGCCCGGCGTCCCATCCAATGACAAACACCGCACGCCCGGAGGGCTGCCCCCCCCCCCCCAGCCCCACCGGGGAGGGGACAAGGGTCGGCTGGACACTCAGCCGCCAGCCGGCACACTTGGCGGCAATACGAGGGGGAGAACGAAACGAAAAACACCCGGCGGCTCATTGAGCAATTTCCTGGATACCAGCGCCCACGAGAGCGTCGCCGTTCGAACGTTATGTAAGACCGAGCATGTTATTGTTCAGCCGTCTTTGTGAGAAAACGCAAGCATCAAGCGTAAAGTCATAAACTAAACGAAGTTCTTGCGTAGTACTCTGCAGACTTACTGAATCCTCTGCACGCTGAACTCAATTGTAGCGGCAGACTCGCCGGGTCGAGTGCATGCCTTCCGTGCCCTGCGAGCCTCGATTCTCAACTGGATGGGACGTTAGCGCCAGAAATGAGCTCGTTTAATTCCCAGTGACAACAAAAACGGGTAAAGCAAAGGCCGTCGATCTAAAACGCCTGTGAGCCAATGCCTGTGAGCAGCGGCAGGGGCGCGTGCAAAACATCATCAACATACCCCGCTGCAGGGGTTATTGCCGCGTTATACGACGACAAAAGGTCACGAGCCGGCGGCTGCTGCGCAGTGCTGGAAATGAGGCCGCTTTCTGGTCCCGGCGTTTTATTCTCCGGGTGGGTTAGCTCCGTCTAGCGCTCAGCCTTTCGGGACCCTCACAGAGCCGCGGTTGTTTTCGCCGCTCAGCCCATTCGAGATGCCAAGTTGATAGTCACACGAAGTTTATTTGGGGCCTTTGAATATACGAATTCGAAATTAATCGAGTCTACAAAACCTTTTTCTTTCATCTATATGCATACATTTAACAGTAACTCCAGACTAGGCTGGTTTGGCTGGCCCTAAATATGCTTCGTGTGACTATTAATTTTGCATCTCGACTGGGGCGAGCGGCGAAAACAACCGCGACCCTGAGTGGGTCCCGAAAGGCTAAACGCTGGACGGGATTAACCCGCCCGGAGAATAAAACGCCGGGACCAGAAAGCGGCCTCATTTCCAGCACTGCTGCTGCGGCTGATCTCAGACTAGATGCATCTTTTTAGGCCGCTCAACACGAACGAGAGTCCCACAAAGCCCATCGCAAAGTGATTGTCATTTGTCAATCGAACCAAAATCGCTGCCCTGATCACGACCACTGAGCCGTTTCATTATCGACAAGAACTGCGGAGTGACTCAGATCTCAGATGGTAAGAACCGACAGCACTGAACGACTGGCACCAGGGCTGCGGAGTCGATGGATTTTAGGGTGACTCTGACTCCGGCTTCAAAAATCGACTCCGACTCCGGCTCCGACTCTGGACGGTTCTATTAAAATCCATATCATGGCATTGAAGTTCATAATGGAGATGTTTTTATCTTGCCTGAAGGCTGAAACAATCTCTTGTGCGTTCCAAGGCTTTGCGTTGCAATATGCATTAAAAATAACATGCAGAATTAAAAAGCTAGGTTCTGGGGCATTCACCGTCTTCTGCTTCTTTCGCTGAAAACATTCGTCCAAAACAACAAAATGGCCTTTTTTTCGACAAAATCTAATTTCGAGTGCAGTACGTCAATCAAGCAGGTGCAGTGCATGACGTTGAGCCACGCAGCGTTAACTCCGACTCCAGAGTCGGAGTCGGTAAGATTTTGGCGACTCCGACTCCGACTCCGACTCCAACTACCGACTCCGCAGCCCTGGTCACAACAAACACCGAATTTATCCGGTGGATTGGTTAGCCGGGTCATGTAGAGAGCGACAACTACCCACGTATAATCTGGACGACGGTACTGATCAGAACCATGGAACTGCTCAGCACTCTGAACGCTGAACGACGAGCCCATCCTACACACACACACAGCACAATTTGGTGCGAAAACAGCGTGACTTCCGGGCACCACCCGTTCGGACCGGACTGGATGCCCACTTCTTCGAGTGTCGTTGGAATGTCACTCTTTATCCCGTCTATAGAATCACGGTATATAGAGAACTGTATAGAATGAGTTCAAAGATCGGGTCCGCAGGGGCGCGAGGCCATCGCACGACTGACCGATAGGAGCCTCGCCATTTCCACTCACTTCGACAACAAACCGAACAACACGGATTATCGACACGCAGGCCACGGTCATGCAGCACGAGCCCTATTGGCAGAAAAGTGTATGCATGAGGTCACAAATCGCCGCCAGGGAATAGGGATCGCCGAAACCGAAAGCGTCGGGTCATAGAAAAAAAAAACACAGGAAAATCGCCCTCTGTTACAATGCATGGACATGACAGGAGACTTCAGACTCCAGACACTTCATCAAGCAGGAACAACAAACAGAAATAAATGACAATTGATTCCACAAACACCTGGCAGCAGTCCAGATCCAATTGATATCTCATGATCAGTGACATAGTGTGAGACCATGATTAGATAGTCTGGGACATTATTTCGTTGTGAATACAAATGCATGCACATTGCATGAAAGTATAATGAAATAAATGAGAGAAATGAAAGAATTGAAAGAAATGAGAGAAATGAAAGTATGTAGGTAGATATTTAAGGTGCTCTGATGTTCATATCAGTCTTTTCAAGTGGATAATCACTGCTAATAAAATAAATAGTTTAACTTTAAGCAAATGAGGTGAA